TTGTTGATTGTTGGACTTTAAATTAAAGATAATGTTGAGTTACAAAATTATCTTCGATTCAAGCGAATGTTGAACCACAAAAGATCCTCCAATTGAATCTAAAGACATTCATTTCATGCTAATGTTGGATTACAACACGACCTTCGATTGATACTAATGTTGGGTCACTAGACAAGCTTTCACGAAAGCGAATGTTGCACTACAAAGTGATCTTTAATTAGTGCTAATGTTGGACTACAAAACATCTTTTAAAATCAAGCTGAATTGGATTTTAAAAAGGCATTCAATACATTCTGATGTTGGATTACAACACGACCTTGGATTTAAGCTAATTTTGGACCACTACAGAAGCTTTCACTGAAGCTATTGTTGCACTACAAAATTATCTTCAATTAGGGCTAATGTTAGATCACAAAATGATCTTCAAATCATGCTGGATTGGACTACAAAAATACATTCAATGTTGGATTACAACACGACCTTCGATTAAAGCTAATGTTGTACCACTAGACAAGCTCCCATGAAAGCTAATGTTGCACTACGAAAGACTCTTCAATTAGAGTTAATGTTGGAGCACAAAACGATCTTCACAACAAGCTGACGTAGGACTATAATTGAGGCTATTAAGGTCGAATTGGTAACAGTATAATCTAACCTTTTTACCAGTTACAAACATTTCAAATAACTTATATTTCCCTTTTTTTAAGCTACCAAAGTCTAGAGTCTTAAAAACCGTTTAAATAACTACAAACAATTGGTTAAAAACGCAGACAATTGGTTTTCCAAATGTTTGAATACTAATCCAAATGAAAGTTAAATGCTTCGTTGGTTGTCAGTTAAAGATGTGGACTGAATAAGAAAAAAATGGTCACCGGGAATATAAATTAAATTATGAGACTCTAATTAAGATGGTTAAACCAACTCTTTTTTTAATTTTTATTCACTATTATAACAGGAAATGCTGAAAACTATTAAAAAACCTTATAAACTCTACCATTTTGAAAACTTTACACTTGACATGTCACATACATACGTACGAAAGTAAGTATTTGTGTAAATAATAAGTAAGTAACGTATATTTTCAAATCATCAACAACATCATGGAGGCATTAGTATTTAACGGATGGGCAAAAGGTAGATCAGCCAACGGGAAACACAAAAAGAAACATTTTTAGCTTCTAGCAAAAAAAAAAAAACGAATCGAAATATTTATACGGGTGACAAAATGTGTAAACGGAATTAATGAAAAATAACGACAGCAAAACACTATAACATTTGATAACATCAGTAGAAAATTGATTAGAATGTTAAGCCAACTAGCAGAAGAATACTAATAATATTTGTTTTATTAGTAAGCAGCTGCTGATAAAAACTAAAATTGCAAAATTGCCATCTTTGCCTTAAACCCATAGAAAGAAAACTATATTTATCTTAAACCAAAAACTATTATTATTTTCAATCAAACATAAATTCATTATTATACTAAAGATCTATTTGAACTACGTGTGGTCTAGTTGAGTTTGAATAATTTTCTTTTTTTTTTTTTTCGTCTTCTTTTAGCTTTTAACATGACTAATGCCTGTCAATGATACTGACGCCATAAATTAATCAAATTGTAATGAATTTGATTTTTTGTTTAACTCTTCTTCATTACGAATGTTAAATATTTTTGGTGTTTTTTTTTTTTTTTTCTTTTTTTGGTTTAAATAAATTATCCAAAATCTAAACTAGCTTAGACAAAGTGTGACTCGTGTGGCATCGTCATAATCTTGGGTAATTTACGCAATTAATTGGTGTTCACACTGGGCGGTCGTAAAGATTAACAGCTTTTTTTCTCTCTAGTTTTGGAGTTTTTTCTTTCGGTTTGTTGGGGGGGTTTTTAATGGCATTTGTTAAAGCCAAGTTATAATCCAAATAAAATATATGAAACTGATTGTTAAAAAGTATTTGTTAAATAACGAATAAAAGTTATACTACATGTTTGAGAAAACGTTTAAAACGATTTGGAGACAGATTTTTAAGCTAAAGTTGGACTACAAAATGACCTTCCATTGAAGCTAGCTTTGAACCACAATAGTATACCAAATGTGGATTTCAAAACAATCATCGATTGAAGGTAATGCTGGACTACAAAAACACATTCAATTGAAGCTAATGTTGAACCACAAAAATACCTATAATTCAAGCTAAGGTGGAACTGCAAAACAACTATTAATCAAAGCTAATACAAACCGGCGGTTGAATCTAATAATGGACTACAAAATCATTGAATTACTTCTGATGTTAACCCATAAAACTATATTGAATTGAAGCTAATGTTGGACCTCAATTTTGGACGATAAAAGGACCTCCAATGATCTAGAATTTGTATACAGTTTCCCATGAGTTCAGTTCTAGTTAATTTCTAGTTCAATTCTAGTTCAGTTCTAGTTTAGTTCTAGTTCAGTTCTAGTTCAGTTCTAGTTCAGTTCTAGTTCAGTTCTAGTTCAGTTCTAGTTCAGTTCTAGTTCTAGTTCTAGTTCAGTTCTAGTTCAGTTCTAGTTCAGTTCTAGTTCAGTTCTAGTTCAGTTCTAGTTCAGTTCTAGTTCAGTTCTAGTTCAGTTCTAGTTCAGTTCTAGTTCAGTTCTAGTTCAGTTCTAGTTCAGTTCTAGTTCAGTTCTAGTTCAGTTCTAGTTCAGTTCTAGTTCAGTTCTAGTTCAGTTCTAGTTCAGTTCTAGTTCAGTTCTAGTTCAGTTCTAGTTCAGTTCTAGTTCAGTTCTAGTTCAGTTCTAGTTCAGTTCTAGTTCAGTTCTAGTTCAGTTCTAGTTCAGTTCTAGTTCAGTTCTAGTTCAGTTCTAGTTCAGTTCTAGTTCAGTTCTAGTTCAGTTCTAGTTCAGTTCTAGTTCAGTTCTAGTTCAGTTCTAGTTCAGTTCTAGTTCAGTTCTAGTTCAGTTCTAGTTCAGTTCTAGTTCAGTTCTAGTTCAGTTCTAGTTCAGTTCTAGTTCAGTTCTAGTTCAGTTCTAGTTCAGTTCTAGTTCAGTTCTAGTTCAGTTCTAGTTCAGTTCTAGTTCAGTTCTAGTTCAGTTCTAGTTCAGTTCTAAACCGTTCGCTAGTCTATAGACTTGTTTATAGGCTAGTCAATAGACTAGTCAACAGATTAACTTTAATCCAACGTTAGAGAGGTACAACAAAGTTCAATTTTAGTCTTGACCGTTACAAACTTTTACTTAAACCTAAACTGCTCAAATCTTTCAAAATATTTTAGGGTCTTAGTGCGGATTAACATTGTTAAGGTATTTCATTATATTAGCTATTTTCTGTGAAATTTTGTTGTTGTTAGTTTGATATCTTTAACACATTTTATCATTTAGTGTTTTTTGTTTGTCTCTAACAAACAAAAATGAATGAAATTAATCAATAAGAAATAAACATTAGTAATTATCTACAAAAGACATTAATGAACAAAAACTAAATAAAATAAAATTTAACAAAAAAAGCAGGGATGTTAAAAGACTTTAAATGAAAACTTTAAGAAATTTGAATTTAATGTTTATTAATTATATTGCATTTTTTTAGTAAAATGAGTGACAAAATTAGTTTTCAAAGTTTTTTTTTAATATTTACTTTAGTTATGTATAGCTATTATCCAACCCCGGCTATTAGGGGGAGTGAAAACTAGAAATATATGAAAAAACTGTTTCAAAAGGCATTATTTAACCAAAAAAAGTTAAATTGAAAAAATTTCCAATTGAAAACCAGATTTCAATATAAATTTAATTAAAACCACTACAACATTAATAAAAAATAACAATTAAATTTATTAAAAAAAATATGTTTTAATAAACTACCACCAGGAATTTTCGAGTATTTTTTTTTTTTTTTTTGTTAATTCTCTAACAATTTATTTAACTCTCTCCCACAGACTCTTCAAAGCAATTTCTCTTGGTATTTCAATGAGCATAATTAACACACACATGTATGTGTGTATTCCTGTTAACAATGCATTTCAAATTTTTATCCGACCAATCACAAAACAGCTTTGACTGTTTACTGTTATATTTGGCCTGTGCTTGTGCTTATGTATGTGTGTTGTGTTGCTTGTTTATGTTTAGTTTGTTTAAACTTGTTAGTGCATGCTAGCTTGCTTTGTATGCTATAGACATTAATGTTTTTTGTTTAGTTTAAGGGGTTTGGAGTTAGTTGGATATGTAACGGAATTGGAGTTTTGTCGGAATTTAATGTTGGATGCTTGCTCTTGCTCTTTCTCTCTCTCTCTCTTTGAATTTGAAACTCAGCTCTGTCTGTCGTTCTTTATACAAAGTTTATGCGGGTGGCTGGTTATATGGCAAAAATTTTGTTGAGTATTTGTACTCCTTCTGGTTTATTTGTTTTATTTTTTTTTTTGTTTTATGGTCTTTAGTATTAAATTTTTTTTTTGTTTAGTTTTAGTTTTTTTTTGTTTAGTTTTTTTATTTCTTCTTTTTGTTTGCATTGTTTTGTAGGTGGAGTCTCCTATTGTTTTAGTTCTGCTTGTTTTCATACATTTTACTCCCAAAGTAACCGTTAAGTGTATGGGATTTACGTATTAGTATCACAAAAGCTGTTTTGGTTTTAACCCGTGCAACGGATTATTGTTTAGTAACGCCACATAATAATTATAAACAATTTAAACAATTAACTATTTATAAACAATACAAAACAATTTGCTTAATATTTGAAAAAAATCTAGTTAAGAAAAATCTTTATAATTAAAGTTTTATAACAGAATTAAAAGATGGCTAAACGTTAATTTAAAAGTTTTGTGTGTGTGTGACATTTAATATTATAAAAATTATTAAAATTATTGTTAATAATACAAAAAAAAATATTATTTAAGTTAAGAGCATAAAAAGCAAAAAATTGAGAATATTTTAATATTTTTATCAAAAAATTTGAAAATTGAAATTAAAAGAAAGTAACTTCTTAAAGTTTTAACTAACAAATTGAATGGATTTGAAGGTGTTGCTGTGATCAACAGAAATATGGTTATATTGTAAGTCAATATTATTTAAACAATAGTTTGAAATTAAAAACTTTTTCTAAGGAAATTGTGGACTAAAAATACCAGAATCCAAATCCATCAGAATAAACTCTCTGGTCTTGTTAAGATCATTAGATATTTCTGGAAAACTTATAATTGCCGTCGCAACTGTTCTTTTGGATTTATTTCGTTTTTAAACCCAAAATTAGTTTACTTCCATAATCAAGAATCCGTTTCATAATTGATCAATATTAAAGAACTCGAATTTTCACTAAAAATTAAATTTCAATAAAAATTCAAATTTTCATTAAAACTCAAAATTTTTTGACATAAATTTTCACTAAATATTCTATATTTTCACTGAAAATACCGATATAACTTCGCGATTCTTTTACTAGAAAGTCAGATTTTTTCACTAAAAATGTAATTTTTACAAAAATGTAAATTTTCACAAAAATTTCGAATTTAGATTAAAAATTAGATTTTTTACTAAAATGCGATTCTCTACCAAAATTTCCATTTTCCACAAAAATGGCGAATTTTTACTAATAATGCGATTTATCACTAAAAAGTGAATTTTTTCACTAAAAATTTAAAATTTCACGAAAAATTTTAATTTTCACATAAATTCGATTTTCCTCAAAATGTGAATTTTTTCGCTAAAAATTCGATTTTCCGCCAAAATCTTAAATTTTTACCAAAGTGATATTGAAATGTGAAATTTCAAATCTGAAATTTTAATAAAATTGAGAATTTTGTATAAAACAAATTGCGATTTTTCACAAAAAATTGTATTTTCAAAATTCGATTCTCTACTATAATTTCGATTTTCCACAAAGATTGCGAATTTTCACTAAAAATGCGATTTATCATTAAAAAGTGAATTTTTCACTAAAAATTTAAAATTTCACGAAAAATTTAAATTTTTACATAAATTCGATTTTCCACAAAAATGTGAATTTTTTCACAAAAAATTCGATTCTCTACCAAAATTTTGATTTTCTACAAAAAATACGAATTTTAACTAAAAATGCGATTTTCACTAAAAGATGAATTTTTCATAAAAATTTTATTTTTCATAAAAACAAAATTTTGTGAATTTTTTCACTAAAAATTCGATTTTCCACCAAAGAAATCACTAAAAATTTGATTTTTCACTCAAATTTCAATTTTGAAATATAAAAATGTGAATTTTAACTAAAAATGTGATTTTTCACTAAAAATGCGAAATTTCACCAAATAATATGAAATTTCAAATCTGAAATTTTAATAAAATTGAGAATTTTTAATAAATTTTAGGGGATTATTGGTTAAATCGGCTTAAGTTTTAGATTTTAGTTTTTTGCGAAAGTTTTGAAATATAATTCTTGTGGAAATATTCCAGTTTACAGGGAACTGACTCAAGGTGGACCGACAACAGTTTTCTAAATTAAAATTCCACTTTTAACTAAACATGTTTAGGTTTTTATTGGTTAAATCGGCTTAATTTTTAGGTTTTCGGTTTTTTGGGACAATTTTGAAATTTAAGAATTCCTGTGAAAGTATTCCAGTTTACAGGGAACTGACTCAACATGGACGAACAAAACTTTGTTAAGAGCTCATTTAGTTTCTACGTTCCGTTCCGTGAGGAATCAGCTGATTCGTGTTTTCCATACGAAATGACAACGTCAATTTCACGATCTAACTAAAGGCTTACACAGACTTACGTAAGCCAAAAAGAAAACAGCTGATTCGTTACGGAACGGAACGTAGAAACTAATTAAGCTTTTTTCTAATATTTGAAATTAGAGATTCTCTGAGGAATTAGGTTCAAAGTGGGAGGTTAGAAATTAATAGGAGTTGTTTAGTAGGTGACTTATAATAATAAACTATAGTTATAATCTATAATGGAGCGAATAGAATAAACATATTCTCTTAACAGAGCACTCTAGATATAAAGTCCTCTAAAGAATTACTGCAATTAATAAGGAATAGGGTCAACATGGGCGTTCAAAAGTTAACAGGTTTTGTATATAACATGATCAACAATTGCAGTCCATAGTCCATAGGAATGTTTTAAAGAATGAGTTATAGGTAATTACTAAGATTTATATCAATTTCCGTAATTTGAGATTATTTGAATATTCAGGAAATAGTGTCCATGTAGAAGATCAATATGTTATTAGATTTTTACAAAATAGGGTCTACTACTTCAACTTAAATAACTTTGGCAGTAACAGTAGCCTTTCTTGTGTTATTTTCTTTAAACAAATTTAACAATTTGCATTTTCTTTTACATTTAAAATAAAACTAATAAAAAGAGATAGACATTTCAATTTACCAATTTTAATTTCTAATTTTCTTTTCCAAACAATTTAATAAAAACATACAAACACCTACAATTCAATAAATCTCTTAATAATAATAATAAAAAAAAACAACGATAATAGAAACTCAAAATATCTAGACCACACGCACGCATTTAAAAAACAGTTAAAAGAATAGATTTTCCAAAACAACAACAAACTATTAACTCTATCGGACAACAGAACAAAAAAATATCCATAATAAAAACACGAAAACATAATTTACTCATTGATAACAAACATTATAATGATGTCAAAACAAACCAAAACACAACAAAAACAAAACAATAAAGTTGTAGTATCTCTAATACCTTGTTGTCAAAAATATAAAAAAAGGCCTAAAGGTTAAGAAGACAACACAAGACAACAAAAAGAAAGGACCGAAGAGTACAAAACAATAGATGGATGCTGATGCTGATGATGATCATCTTGTAGGTGACAAACTTATTATGTTCAATGTTTATAAAGATCATCGAAACGACTAAACTATATGACACACTATCAGCCACACAAACAACAACAACTACAATACTAAATGTGAGAAAAAATATATGTAAAAACAAATGACCAACAACACTAAGAAAGTAACTAACAACATTAGAGTGTTTGAAAGGCAGTAAAAGAAGAAGAAAGAAAGCCTTATTTAAAGATTGGGTTTTTTTTTAAAGATTACATGTTGGAAAAAAACATTGACAAAATAGAAACATTAATTAAATACTAAACAACAGCAACAACAATAACAAAAACAACACGATGGGATTATAAAATAAACAAAAGATTTTAACGCCACCAAAAGAAGGCTAAACGAATTTAAACAATAATAAACACCGTGAGTGAGCCAGTGAGTCAAAAACCACACACTTAAATTGGATTTTTAAAGGGATTCTCTTAAGTAGGGTCTTAAAGTAACTCTTATGAATGTAACCGTTAAGTGTTATAAATAGTTAAGGAGTTGCCAGACTATGATTTTTGGAAATTTCGGTATTTCTAATGCAATTTACAAAGAATAGGGTTAAGATGGATGGAAAAAAGTAAATAGAATTTGTGGGGAGTGTCGTCGACTATTACAATCCATAGTTATTAAATCCGCTAACCGAACGTGTTGAAATTAGTTATTAAGATCTTTTGCGATTTAGTAATCTCTGAGGGATGACTTTAATTATAAGGGATTGGGATCATTGTAGCCGAATGAAAGTTAATGGAATTTGTAGAGAGAGTTGCCTGATATTGGAATCAATAGTATAAATATTGAACAGGGTGATTCGAAAAGTGAAATTCTCTTAACAGGGCACCTTTTATAGAAATTGTAAAATTTAGGATTCTCTAAGGGATGACTTGAGTTTACAGGCGAAAGGATCGATAGATCTCTATCATAGAATTTGTAGACAACATATCAAGCTATTATGTTCCATAATCAGATATACTAATGGAGGGAGGTGAAGCTAGTTACTGAGATTTTTTTCCAATTGCAAAATATCGGTAATCATTGAAGGATATGACTTCAATTTTCAGGAAATAGGGTCGTCATAAGTGGTCAAAAGTTAATATGATTTGCACAGAAGTTGATCTTCTATTATAAACTATAGTCAGAATCTCTAAGAGAGTAAGTTGAAACAAGAAATTCTCTTAACAAAGCTTAATATAATGAAATTGCCCAATTTGGGTTTCTCTAAGGGATGACTTCAATTTACCGGGTTAAGGATCAATGTAGGTGGAATAAATATAGTAGAATTTGTAGACAACATGGCAAGCTAGTCCATAATCAAATTCGCTAAAAGATTTAGATTTTTTCCCAATTTCGGTAATCTTTGAGGAATGACTCTAATTCCTAACAAAAGGGGTCAACAAGGGTGGTCAAAAGTTAATAAGATTAGTACAAAAATTCGGCTACTATTATGAACTATAGTTAGAATCTCTAAAAGAGCGAGTTGGAACGCTAAGTTCTCTTAAAGAAAATGCCGAATAAGGGTTCCTCTAAGGGATAATTTCAATTTATTGGGGAAAGGATCAATGTTGGTGGAAAGGAGTTTATAGAATTTGTAAACAACATGGCAAGCTATCGTCGTCCATAATCAGATCCGCTAACGGAGCAAGTTGAAGCTAGTTACTGAGATTTACAATTCCTAGGAAATGGGGCTAAAAATGTGGTCAACATAGGTGATCAAAAGTTATTTGGATTTGTACAGAAGTTGGGCCAAGCTTATAGACCAAGCTTTTATAATCGAAAGACATAGACTCGCTATAAGAACAAGCTGGCGCCAGTAATTAAAGTTTAACCAAATTTCATAATTTAGGATTCTTTGGGGAATGAACTCAATTTACTGGGAAGAAAAATATCTGAAGCGGGCAAAAGTTAATGGGATTTGTAGGAAAATTTACCTATTATTACAATACATAACCAGAATTTGTAAGAGAACTAGTTAGATCAAGAAATTCTCTTAACATAACGCCAAATAAAGAAAATTCCAAAAGTAAAAATCGAACTTTTAACAATTCTGATAGATCTGTAACTCTGTGTAAGTAAGTTTTCACTTGTAGCTTAAATTTTGGAAATTTTTTTTGCAAATCAATCTGGTAACATTGTTAACCCCCAAGAACATTAGAATAATCACCTACAAAACTCTAGTCTATTAAAGAAAAAAGCTGAGAAAATTTGTGTTAAATCACAACTTTTTTTATTAGAGTTATTAATGCTCAGATTTATATGTAGACCACACTAAGACTCGAATATTCATGTGGTCCTAATAAAAAAACAACAACAAAACAATAACCTGCTGACTTCCAAGTATCAATAATAAAATAAATTTTATGGATTTTTTTCTTTTCGAAAAGTTTCAAATTGATTATTTAGGTGTGTTATTTGTAAGATATCATGGGGTTTTTCTTTAAAATCAAATCACTTTCATTAGTGGTAACATCAGCATTATTTAAATTTAAACAGTTTTTTTGTGTGTGTTAAGGAAATCAATATTATTTGTATGGAAACGTTTAGTGTTCTGGTTGAGATAGTTTTAATTGAAAATCAACACTAGGTTGCGGGAAAAAGAGTGAGTGAGTTTTATTGCCAATTATAATTTGGGAAACAATAGCAATAATAGGTGGTATTAACTTTAGGCCCCTAAAAAGTGTGCCAGTGGAAAACATAAATCTTTTCTAGAAAGCAAAATTAAGTCATAAATAGTAAAGTTTAAGTTTGGAAATATTTGAGGAACAAGTTTGTTTTTGGATTTTAAAGAAATTTATCTCAGAATCTCTTTATATAAGTAATTCAAGCTTTAAGTTGTTATGGGATATTTTAGAGGTTAAATTCAAGCGATATTTATAGAAATTTTTAAATTTTGAATATAATTTTTAAACAAAATTCGACACTTATTATTATGACTGTAATAAATGTTTAACTTAAACAGTTTTGAGAAAATTATTGAAATTAGATTTAGTTTTTAGGTTTAAAATAGGAAATTAAACCGGAAATTTGAATTCAAAATGAGGTTTTAAAATAAAAAATATTGAATTTCAGATATTAAGAAAGGTATTTAAAAGGTAACTGTAGATTTTTATTAGCAATTAAGAGAAAAATTAAAACTTTTTCAAAACATAACTTAGACAAAAATACAATTCTAAGAAGTTGAGCTGATTTTAATAACCAAAACTGTAAAAATTACAAAATAATGAATATTTCGTGATATGTATGAACTATTTTTGTTTAATAAAACTAAAAGAAAGAAATCTGAAATAATCCATACTTTATTACAGAAATGCCTACTGCTTCAATTCCCGCAAACAGCAGCAACTGAATATGAACCATAGATCGAAGAGGGATTGGGATATCAATGATGCTGTTGTGCCGCAAGTAAATGAATCGGATTTTGATGAATTTAATGAATGGACCGACGGTCATGTACGTCTTATATATCCCCTTAGTAATGAGGAGGCCAAAAAACATATATCCGGTTGGGCCATGCGCAATACCAACAATCATAATGTTAACATTTTAAAGAAAAGTTGTTTAGGAGTTTTGGTCTGCTCACAAAATTGCACCCTCTCGAATGGCAATAGAATTAATTTAAGGCCGGCCATATGTGATAAAGCTAGAAGAAAGCAGGAAGGCAAGGCCTGTCCCAATAAGACCTGTAGAGGAGGCAGACTTGAAATCAAACCCTGTCGTGGTCATTGTGGTTATCCGGTCACTCACTTCTGGCGGCATTCTACTAATGCCATATTCTTTCAAGCCAAAGGAGTACATGATCATCCTAAGCCAGAACCTAAGAATTCCAGTGTTTCGAAGAGAGCGTTTGGTAGAGTATCCCTAGTAAGCAGAAACTCTACAGCGGTTACCAGTAAAGCGACAGGTAAAAAGTCTTCTCTGGTTAATAACTTGAGTTCCAGTTTAAGGCAAATGAAAAGTCACAGCTCTTTTCTAAATAAAGTATTAAAACGCTCCACTAAAACCACAAATGCCATGTCACATACAGCAGCCTTGGAAATATATCAATTCAATAGTAAGTTTCCTTGCCCTATAACTAAAATATATATTATTAAATGTTTCCCTTTATATTCCCCAGCTTGCAACAAATGTACCACCCGTTCACAATGCACCTGTGTTATAGAACCTTTAAATAATACATCAAGTCTAAACTATAGCAATCCCTTGCATCATTATGAATCATTAACTGCCTCGGTACCTCATCAAAACTATACACACACACATACACATAATATTTACCAGAGCAGCAGTGAAAGTTCGAATACAAAATGTGAACCCACAGCCCTATTAACCGTTAATCATCAGCATATCACCTATAATTATCCCATATATCATCATACTTCTTTGAATAACCCTACAGCAGCTATGGCTCCTTCCCCTAAAACCGCCGCAGATCAGACGTTACACTCTTGCAACACTTCCCCCTCCTCTGCTGTAAACAGTGTAACACATTATGCCAACGAAACTCTGGAACCCGCTAAAATGTCCTATCATCATTATCACACCACAGCGGCCTCAGGTTATGGCTCGGAATCTTCTTTGTGCTACAATAATAACTGTGATGGCATCTCCAACTTTAATACAAACTTAACAGCAAACTATGACTATGATTTACACCCGCCACCTCCAGCAGCAACAGCCTCCTTAAGCTCCCGACATTTAAGCACACATAATGCTAATCTAGAGCTGCAGGTTCCAGAGCTAAAGCAACCTTATCCTAGCCATACAACAGAAACGTCTGAATTCATTAATTATGCAGATTTAAAATACTCCCCTAGACAGCCCGCAGCAGCTGCCGCGCTCCCCGAAGTGCTTAATAATGAACCAGAATTCATAAACTATTCAGAGCTAAAACATTATCCTCATATCATGGAGTCTTCACAGGCAATAGCGGAAACTAAACCCTCCAAAGTAAACACAAATGAGCAGCCTTCCCACCTTTACCAGCACTCGCATAATAGATCAGTTGAAACCAACAGCCACAACTACGATAACTGTTACTATGCCAGCGCAACACGCACCAAACAGGAAAAAACTAAAGAAAAATTTCATATGGACACCACCTCCCATAATTCCACTACAGCTAATAGTTATGATTACGACTATAATCCTTCTACTAACAATTATTTTCCCCTGGCTACTGGACCCCCTAGTAATAATAACAGTTATGCCACACTTAATAACTACTATGATACAGGACCCTCAAACGCCTCACAGGCCCATTCCACTGCGCTTTATGACTACAATGGCTCGCCTTCATCTTCGTATGCTTCGTCGTATAGTTATGATCAAATGAATACACGCGGTACTAGTTTAATGGCCGGTCCACCACCCTGTCACACTTATGCTCATTAGTTTTAAGGCAACGAACGTAAAGAATTTTATTCTATTTAATATTTAAGAAATATTTTTCGTCTATTCTTCTTTTTTGTTGGCATTGAATGTTAAATTGGGAAAAAATAAAAAAAATTATTACTGATAAAAAGTTTAAAAAATTTTGATTTTATTTAAGATTAGAAAACATACCTTCAAGTTTTGAATTATGTATTAAAAGATTGTTTGGCGCTTTACTGTTTGCAAACATTTACTGGCTTAAGTGCCACCTGTATTTGAAACATAAAAATATATTTTTTAAATATTATTTGGTTTGAGTGTTTGCTAAATTTATGATTTCTTTTGGAAATTACAACTCTGTTATTCCTGTCTATGAGACAAGAAACTCAGCTGTCAAACACGTAAAATTCAACTTTTATCTAAACAAAAGACAATCATTCACAATTACAATAACCCAGCAAATAATAATGTTAGGCTTGTGATAAGTATTATTTTAATCGTCTTTCCAAATTGGCTTCTATATTTCAAACAAACTTCTCGACTTTTTGCAATTTCTGAAAAGTCGACTTTCAGACTTTTAACAATTTTGAAATTATCCACTTTTTTACTTTTAGAACTTTTTCAATATTGGCTTTTAACTTTTTCCGAATTTTATATTACAAAATTTCCTATAAAAACATCGACTTTTTTTAAATCAAAGTAAATTGTTCGAAAGTCGATTTATAGGACAGTTATTTCAAAGATAAAGTCGACTAATTTGTTCTAATAAACCGCAACCCAGCAAATAATAACTCGTATCATTAGGATTCTTTAATTCGACTTTCGAATAGAGTTGATTGAACCACGTTTCACAAAGGGTTGCTGGGTTGTTATGTTAAACACAGATATGTCAAACAAACATTTATTTATTTTATTAACAACAAAATGCATAAACCCATAACAGAGATACAAGCCGAGACGGCTCAAATCGGCGGCGGCTGGCCGCCGGTAATATTTAGCAAGCCGCGCCGCCGCCGACTTCTTTCGGCTCAAAGGCTAGGCCAGCTTAAACGTAGCCGCTGATAAAAATTGGAATCGCACATGTCTTTCAGAAAATAATTTCACCAATTTGAACAGAGTTGCCACTATTTTAAATTCTTATGGCAAATTCAAAAGAGTTGCCACACAATATTGTGCTAATATTAAAATAGTGATAACTACTATAACAATGTCCATTTTCTACAGAAAAAACTTATATAGAGACAGGTTTCTATATAACAGACTATTATACAGAGATTTTTCAATATAATAAACGCTTATAAGGTCAATTTCTGAAGAAAAAGTTAAATTGAGCCGGCAATTTAACCGCCGCCGATATTTTCTAATATAAGCCGCCGCCGCCGACCTAAAATCATTTTGCATCGGCTTGTATCTCTGACCCATAATTTTAATAATTATTTAGGTTAATAATATTATCTTCAACCCAAATTATAACCTTAAACTTATTAAATTTATTTTATCTTTTACAATAAAACATGTTAGTGTTGTTAACTACAACCCTGTTATTTAGTACGTCATGTTTATTTTATGCCTCTCCTTATTTATTATCTCTTTTATGAATTTAGTGGATTTTACTTTTGCTCCTCTCTTTCGCTATTTGTACGAATGTCATTAGCGTGTGTTTCTTTTTCTGTATCTTTCTTTACTTTTTAGGAATATTATTAAATAGCGGCATTAGTTAAATACAAGTTAAATCGTGTGGTTGTCGCAAATACTCCGCTCGATACAAGTAAATATTTTCTAAAAAGCATTTAAATTCCATCAACAAAAACAACATGGTTTACGCTGTCAAGAGCAAGGTATGTACCGAAACAAAAACAACAACTCGTAACAGGCAAATTAAATACACTAGAGAAAAAAAAAACTGGGAACTTGTGAACAAAATTAAAATGTGTTGAATAAAATTGATAAATTAATAATGTATGTGAAAGAAATCTACACTCTAAGTTGGCAAGTGCAAAAAATCTATTATGAAAAAAGTATTAAGAATGACGTGTTTTCTATATAAAATGACCCTTTTTTCTATAGTTTGACATGATTTGCTTAAAAATTAGGACATGTGGGAAAATATAAAAAAAAGTGACAGACGTACGATGTGTAGTTAAGTAATCAATGTGTCGGTCGTTTGATGGCTGCTTGGCCAACCTTTATCAATATTTTTTTATATGTGTAGAGTGTGCTATGTTTTATTTGATTATTACAACTTTGTTAAAAAAAATTAATTTTAATAATATTTGTAATTTGCCTGCCAATATCACAAGTGTTTTAGTTGTAGTCTAGCGCTGCAAACACCGACCGCATGATATCATCTCTATATGTATAGAAAGTGGGTTTTTTTCACAAACAAATTTTATTATTTTGTTTGTTAAGATTTATAGTTGTTGTATTTTTGCTTGTTTGTCCAAATATTCCATTCAAGAATTTTAAAATTTCCATTAAATGAATTCTTAATCATGGCAAAATCTTTAACAAATTCTTTACTTTAATAACTTAATAATTAACAAAGTGGTTGCTTTGCTTAATGTTCATTATTGTTGTTAATAATGCAAAGAGAAAGAGAGAGCATGAATTGACAAAAAAACCGAGAGATAAGTTGTTTTGGTAACAGGGTGAGTCATATAAAGGCAAAACAAAAGAAAAATAACGTTAGTTTGTAAAATTTTTAGTTTTAAAGGATTTTTATGAAGAAAATAGAAATTTTCTATAATAAAATGATTAATTTGTATAATTTATTAAAGAATTGTGCTAATTAAAACTTTAAATTTGTATTTTAACAAAGAAAATGTCAAAATTTTCATGAAAATGTTATTACTTTTACTTTTGAAAATATGTATTGTTTATCTTTAAACTAAAAGAGGTATTTGTTACTTTAGATTACATAATACTTATGTAGGTTTATTAAAAATCTATTTTAGGTTTTCTATGGCAACATAGTGGTCATAGTTTAATAACATTTGATATGTTTTATTTGGTGGTCATTTGCAAAGGTTAATGAAATAAGTTCTAGTGCAATTCTAGTTTAGTTCAGTTCTAGCTCACTTCTAGTTTAGTTCCTTTCTTGTTCAGTTAATAACAAAATCAACTAAAAGGAGTGTGAACTAATCGCGATGCCTTTATAGCGTTCATATATGATAATCAGCGGCTTTATAATGTTTGCTTTCACTCTATATCTACATAAAGTGATTTCATGGTTCTGAGGTGGTTATTTTTACAATCTATGAATAGGGTATAATTTGTCTAGAATTTACTTTTTTTGGGTCAATAGTGGTTTACTAACCTCAATTACAGATAATAATTATGCACAAATTTGATAAGAACCAAACAATCTACAGCTCTCTCACTATATAAACACACATTTTTATTAAAATACTTAATATTTGATAATAATATCGAAGTACAAATATACAAATAAAAATAGCAGAACTTTTTTTAATATAAAAAAGAAAAAATAGCAAAAGTTCAGCAGAGAATTATAAAAATCAAATTATAAATTTCCAGGAATATGAAAAACTCGGGTTTTTTTTTTTCAATAACGATCGAAATCTCTATAGAATTTAAATGTAGATTCATATTTTATGGAATACCGCAACGCTTTTATTTTTAGAAATATGTATTAATAAGTATGGGCTTCTCAGGTTTTTTTTAATTTTAAATAAATTCAAGGAATTTTACTTTTTTCCATGACTATTAAAACATATTTGTAGAGAATTTATTTCAATGTTAAGTAAAAGTTGTATTTTAATTACAAAAATAACAGATTCAAAGAAATTAAGAGCGAGAGTGAAAACCACAACATCCACTTAATAGCTCATAATTTTAAATGACAAATTTTAGCTTTTAATAACAAACTTTAAAATTCTTCTACTACTTTTGAATTTGTAAATTAAATTTTTTTTTTACAATTTAATATTTTTTTTATATTAATTATTTCCTATATTAGTCATATTGTTTGGATTTCATTGCTTCGTTTTTTACTTGTATGCGACTAATTTGTTATTAACTTTTCAAATTAAACCTGGTTTCTTCTTAGCATACAAAAAAATATTTGTAATCAATGACTCATGAAAAAACTTTTAAGAAAAAAATAGCTACAATTTTTTAAATGATTTATTTATACATAATAATGAAATAATTATTGTTTTTAGAAATAAATATGCAATCATCATTTAAATGTTTAGCCAAAAATTTCTAAAATAAAATTAAACAAAGAAATATCTATAAAAAAAAACAATAAATATATAGAAATATGCAAATATTTATACAAAAAGGCCATATTTAAAACAAAAGCAATATGTTATTTGATGTTTGATATTTTTTATTGCCAATTTTTAATTTATTCAATTTAATTGAATAAAAGTATCTAGGTGTTTAATTTAAAAAGTTTTAGTTCTAGTAGAGTTCTACTTCAGTTCTAGCTCAGTTCTAGTTTTGTGCTAGGTCAGTTCGGTTCTATTTCTATTCTAGTTCAGTTTTATTCTAGTTCAGTTCAGTTTTATTCTAGTTCAGATCTTGTTCAGTTTTAGTTCAGTTCTAGTTTAATTCTAGTTCAGATCTAGTTCAGTTCTAGTTCAGTTCTAGTTCAGTTCTAGTTCAGTTCTAGTTCAGTTCTAGTTCAGTTCTAGTTCAGTTCTAGTTCAGTTCTAGTTCAGTTCTAGTTCAGTTCTAGTTCAGTTCAGTTCTAGTTCAGTTCTAGTTTAGTTCTAGTTCAGTTCTAGTTCAATTCTAGTTCTAGTTCAGTTCTAGTTTAGTTCTAGTTTAGTTCTAGTTCAGTTCTAGTTTAGTTCTAGTTCAGTTCTAGTTCAGTTCTAGTTCAGTTCTAGTTCAGATCTAGTTCAGTTCTAGTTCAGTTCTAGTTCTAGTTCAGTTCTAGTTCAGTTCTAGTTCAGTTCTAGTTCAGTTCTAGTTCTAGTTCAGTTCTAGTTCAGTTCTAGTTCAGTTCTAGTTCAGTTCTAGTTCAGTTCTAGTTCAGTTCTAGTTCAGTTCTAGTTCAGTTCTAGTTCAGTTCTAGTTCAATTCTAGTTCAGTTCTAGTTCAGTTCTAGTTCAGTTCTAGTTTAGTTCTAGTTCCGTTCTAGTTTAGTTCTAGTTCAGTTCTAGTTCAATTCTAGTTCAGTTCTAGTTCAGTTCTAGTTCAGTTCTAGTTCAGTTCTAGTTCAGTTCTAGTTCAGTTCTAGTTCAGTTCTAGTTCAGTTCTAGTTCAGTTCTAGTTCAGTTCTAGTTCAGTTCTAGTTCAGTTCTAGTTCAGATCTAGTTCTGTTTAGTTCAGTTCTAGTTCAGTTCTAGTTCAGTTCTAGTTCAGTTCTAGTTCAGATCTAGTTCAGTTCTAGTTCTGTTTAGTTCAGATCTAGTTCAGTTCTAGTTCTAGTTCAGTTCTAGTTCAGTTCTAGTTCAGTTCTAGTTCAGTTCTAGTTCAGTTCTAGTTCAGTTCTAGTTCAGTTCTAGTTCAGTTCTAGTTCAGTTCTAGTTCAGTTCTAGTTCAGTTCTAGTTCAGTTCTAGTTCAGTTCTAGTTCAATTCTAGTTCAGTTCTAGTTCAGTTCTAGTTCAGTTCTAGTTTAGTTCTAGTTCCGTTCTAGTTTAGTTCTAGTTCAGTTCTAGTTCAATTCTAGTTCAGTTCTAGTTCAGTTCTAGTTCAGTTCTAGTTCAGTTCTAGTTCAGTTCTAGTTCAGATCTAGTTCTGTTTAGTTCAGTTCTAGTTCAGTTCTAGTTCAGTTCTAGTTCAGTTCTAGTTCAGTTCTAGTTCAGTTCTAGTTCAGATCTAGTTCAGTTCTAGTTCTGTTTAGTTCAGATCTAGTTCAGTTCTAGTTCAGTTCTAGTTCAGTTCTAGTTCAGTTAATGTTGGTATATATAGCATGTTGGTATATATAGCATGACATTCACTTTATTCATATTTACTCTAATTTTAATTTTTATGGTAGTGAAAAGCGAAAAACCCGCTGTGGTTTTTAGCATGAATACATGATTAAAGGTAAAAATTAGCCATTATTAAAAATAAACCAAACCTTTTATTAAATAGACCAACTACTCAAACACAGAAAAAAGTCTATAACTACCAAAAGGGGTTTGTTTTTTTTACCCCGAAGTTAAATATTTATATAAAACCAACTAACCAACCCATCATCACACCATCTAAATAACCATATTGTTATTAGGATTTTTTTATATTTTTTTTTGGATTGGACTGATAAGGAAAAAAAGTGTGTTATTTACCAAATGACAACAACTCTTTATACATACATATATTAGTTATTTATTTTTACATGTGTGTCTTTTTTGTCTCTAAACTAAAATATACCTTTTGAGCATAAAATAGCAGATTAAATTTTATAGCCTGGCGATAATATTCAAACTTATTCTCCAAAGGGGGTGTTTGGTGGAATGAATTATTAATAGTTTATGTATGCGTTAGGGTTTAAGTTGCATGTTATTCTTATTAGAATTGCATATATTTTAAGCGAATCCTCTAAAGGCTTTTAATAAAACGTTAGAAGATAGTTATTTGAATATTAATTTATTATATTTTTATTAATAAAGAAAGCTTAAACTTTTGAACTGTTGTCAAGATAATGTTATGAAATAAAAATAAATTAACTTCATTATAGTATTAACTATTAACTAAATTAATATTATAAAAATTAACTTACTGGTGGACACAAAAGTGTTAATTGTATCTAGTGTATAAAGCTCGAGCATTTTGAAAAAATTTTGCAAATAAACAAGAAAATATTACTCTTACCCTTATGGGTTATTATCAAATAATAAATATATTTTATAGTATATTCTATAGTCTAGTCTATAGTTTATTCTATAATCTAGTCTGTAGTTTTGTCTAGACTATAGTCTAGTCTATAGCCTAGTCTATAGTCTAGTCTATAGTCTAGTCTATAGTCTAGTCTATAGTCTAGTCTATAGTCTAGTCTATATTCTAGTCTATAGTCTAGTCTATAGTCTAGTCTATAGTCTAGTCTATAGTCTAGTCTATTATATAGTCTATAGTCTATTCTATAGTCTAGTCTATAGTCAAGTCAATAGTCTAATCTATAGTGTAGTCTATAGACTTACTTACTTACTTACTTACTTACTTACTTACTTACTTACTTTACTTACTTACTTACTTACTTACTTACTTACTTACTTACTTACTTACTTACTTACTTACTTACTTACTTACTTACTTACTTACTTACTTACTTACTTACTTACTTACTTACTTACTTACTTACTTACTTACTTACTTACTTACTTACTTACTTACTTACTTACTTACTTACTTACTTACTTACTTACTTACTTACTTACTTACTTACTTACTTACTTACTTACTTACTTACTTACTTACTTACTTACTTAATTAATAAATATAAGGGATAGACCCTTTCCGTATCATTTCGTCTATCCTCCACTATATGGTAATGATAACCTCCGTCTATTGCTTCAAACTCAGGCAACTAAAGCGACAGTAAAATCTCTCTTCTCTCTCTCTCTCTCTGTTATGCAATAAATTTACTATTCTCTCAATTACTAAAGATACAGAAACACAATACAAACATTAAACAACAAATAAACTAAAGCATTTTTAAATTTCAAATACTTTCTTTCTAAAAATTAAAGACATGTAATGACACATTCCATTCAGTATTAGAAAAATACCAATCTGATACTTCAAGGTCATTCAAGTAAATAAAACGGGAAGTTTATCTTCTATTCCCCTTTTTCTTAACCCAGTTAGTGCTTAGAAAATATTGTATTGTTATAGGTGTTACCAACCAAAAGTCATTAATATTTCTTTTACAAAATGTTTTGTAAATCAATAATTTCATTTATGACTCACGACACAGCAACTGCATAAAGCAACAAATTACTTAAATTATACGTAGTTAAGACGTTTTACAAGTGAACTTAAGAAAAAATACAAGTCATGTTTTAAACACACAAGTAATAAACTTAAATAGAAAAAAATTGTTTATTACATCTATTATAAACTAATAGAAAGCAAATAATTTAATTATAACAAAACACTATAACAATCAATTAGGTTAAATAACTTGTTTTATTCTATTATTTTTTAATAAGTTTATTGTTCTCTTTTTCCCTACTTACAGTCCGATTTCGATCAACAACTCGAAAATGCTGGTGAAAAATTGGTGGTAGTTGATTTCTTTGCCACCTGGTGTGGTCCCTGCAAAATGATTGCCCCCAAATTGGAAGAACTTTCCAAGGAATATGTTGACAAAATTGTCATTATCAAGGTTAGTTTTAAAATTATACACAATTAATTTGAAACTTATGTTGTGAACTTTTTTTAATTATATTTCAGGTTGATGTTGATGAATGTGAAGATATTGCCATGGAATACAACATCTCCAGCATGCCCACTTTCATTTTCATCAAGAACAAGCAAAAGGTTGAAGAATTTGCCGGTGCCAATGCCGAAAGATTGACCAACACAATCACAAAATTGGCTTAAATTTAAATTTTATAAATTTATAATAAAAATTGTGCATAATTTAACACTCCTCCGCAGCACACTTCTAAATACCCTAACACATAGTCCAATTCAATATAAATATTCATATAAATATGATTTAAAGTTTTTATTTATACCTTATTTTTTATAATTTTTCTTTTTTTAAATTTTGTTTACATTTATTTGTAATTTATTTACTTTTTTTTAATTCTACACAAAATTTCGTTTATTATTGTGAAAATCCGTTGTGAAAAAATAACATTCTTAAAACAATAAAAACCAAAACTTAATAAAAGACATTGAAGTTGTTGTAAAATCAGTTATGTAGTATTGCTTTGCCATTTTCACATAAATATAATTTTTATAAACAAAATATTACACTTACACAGACACCATAGTTAAATAAATCTAAAAATTTCAACGAAAATCGCAACATTTTTTTAGCATTTGTAGTAGAAAATTTTGTCGTTTAAACAGAATATTTTGTAAAAGAAAAGAAATAAAATAAATGTCTACATTTGTTTAAAATCTGGGTTTTAATTTATTAGTGCAATATTCGTGTATTGAAATCTGGGGAGCTAATGTGTATTTTGAATCGAAACCCCTTGTATATATGAAGTTCACAATTTCGAATGAATGTGCTTTCAAAACGAGTTGTGTGAATAGGGTCCTAGTAAATACCGGTAAACCGGTATTTTCCACACAAACTAGTATTTTTACTAAAACCTGTTATTTTTATTAAAAACCGGTTTTTCAGAATTTCTAACAGCATTTTATTAAAAAAACCGTATTTTAGCCAAAAACCTATATTATTTTTTTTTTAACAAAAACTTGTATTTTAACATAAAATTATGTTTTAACTAAAAAAAGTTTTTCATAAAAAACGGTATTTTTACCAATATTTTTACTAAGACTCTTTATTTTGAATAAAATACCGGTATTTTCTAAAAACTTTTGATATTTATAGCAAAATACTGTATTTTTATTGAAAACCCGTTATTTTTACCAAAAACCTATATTTTGGAAAAACCAAACGGATCAAAACCGATATTTTCAAAAACCAGTATTTTTAAGAAAAAAAACATATTTTTGTTAAAAAACAGTATTTTTACCAAACAATTATATTTTCATAAAAAAACAATACTTGTAGCAAATCTAAAATAAGAGGACTTATAACAGAGTATGTTCTTTTATATAAAGCCGGTATTAAAAAAATATTTATAGCACAATACTGTATTTTTATTTAAAAACCGGTATTAAAAAAACTGTTGTTTGGTAAGAAAGATTATTTTAACCAAAAACATTTATGTATTTTCCACTGAAATCCAAAACAAAAAAAACAGTATTTTTACCTAAACCCGTATTTTTACCTAAACCCAAAAACAGTATTTTTACAAAAAAAAAACTATTTTTCAAAAATTTTCATTTTAAAAAATATATAATTTTTAACAAAAATTTATCATTTTAACAAAAATACAGTGTTTTACCTAAACCCTTTATTTTAATCAAAAACCGGTATTTTCAAAAACCAGTATTTTATTTATAATTGTTTAATAAAAACTGATATCGGTTTACCAGTGTCTTAAAAAACGATATATTTCATATCATAAACTAATATTTTCAGCAAAAATATTTCATTATTTATACCAAAGCATGATATTTTATATAAAAATCGATATTTTCAATATTTTTTAAACAAGAAATGGTATTTTTTAACGATGCATTGCATTTTCACCCAAAAACTAATATACATATATACCAAAATCTAGGTTTTTTAAACCGAAAAACATTACTTTTTCTAAAAACCGGTAATTTTCCCCTTTTTATATCGAAAACCTTTTTCATTTCAACGAAATATCTGTTGGTATATTTATCAATAAAGTAATTTTTAGCTTAAAACCCCTTTTTTACTAAAAAAAAAACAAGTATTTTTAGAGTATTTTCACCAAAAAAGTAGTTTTTACCAAATCCTAATATTATGTGTCAATAATAGGTATTTTCCACAAATACGTTTCAATATTTATACTAAATAGTGATATTTTGTATAAAAACCGGTATTTTCAATATTTTTTTTAAGAAAAAATTGGTATTTTTTAAGGATTATATTTTCAGCAAAATTAGTTTTTAAGCAAAAAAAAAAAAAAAAAAAAACATTATTTTATTAAAAGTCGGTATTTTCTTTATAAAAAACAGTATTTTCAAAATTTTAAACGTAAACTGTTATTTGAAAACCAAATTTACGGAAAAAATACTAGCTTTTTCTAAAAAAAGTTCTTTTAATAAAAAACCTTCCTTGTTATTTATTTAAAAAATATTAAAACAAAAACAAATCTTTATTTTTAATAAATACTATTTATATTAAAAATATCTTCTATTATTACAGCTGCTCAACATCCGGCAACACTAGTTTATTTACATAACAAAATACAACCTTCCCAACAGCTGACTAACACAAAAAAATAATAATGTCTCGAAGGCAAAATAAGCAGAGCATAGCATACACAGATGTCTTTCAGTATCCAGAATGTCAAATCACATATGAAAAAAATATGACATTTATTGAAATCACATAGAAATATTTTCACAAATTGTCATACGCTGTCACTTTATCTTTCAAGTTGCTATAAAAGTTACTGCGAATAAGCAGATTTGGCTGTGCACCTCACACAAACACGTGTATTTCTTATGGAACCTAGGCTGCGTATCCCTAGGGCCACTTTAATTTGACGCAGCACATATAAAAAAATGATATTGCTGTGCACAGCTTGAAGAATTTTCTGTGCACAACAGAATGCTCTCTTCTGTCTCTTCTAGCTCTCTCTTAGTTCTCTCCTCGTTTTGTTGTTATTGTAAAAACTAAATAGCACATAAACAAGGTATACTAAACAAGGTACCAGCACTTGAAAGCAACTGCACAATTGTCAATTTTTTTTTATATGGAGTTTGACAAACGTGCGGTTTTTAAGTCTATGTATAAAAAATTGTAAACAATAATCAGCTGGGCAAGTGATGTCACCTTGTATTTAGTACACCCTGCACATAAATAATTAAAATTGTGCACAAATTTTAGTCGTTTAAGGAAAAGTGTTAAAAAAACATCGGGTTTAGTATTAAAAAAAAACGGAAACAATTGTATATACTATGCATTAATATATGCACATTGTATATAATACATTATACGCAATTAAAAAGTAAATAAAGTGTCTAAATTAAGCAAAAACTATTATTGTACTAAAGCTAAAATTATGAAATAATTAATTAAATCAAATGAAATGAAACTGAAGCAGAGATTTGTGAATACAAATGTAAATTAAGCAGAAAATTAAACAATAACAAAACAAATATTTACAACAACTACTGTGCAAAAAAACATAAATTAACCAGTTAATGAATAATTAAGTGTGTTGTGTTTTTTTAATCTTTTTGGTTTTTTTTACAAATGCTAAACAATTGTTTATAACTTGAAATTGTTTAGACATAAAAAGAAAAAAAAAATCGAAAACGAAAATAAGAAATTTGTATTAAAAAATTACTAATCATTAAAGAAAACAAGATAAATAAAATCGATTGTTCAACAGGAGTTAGTGTGTTTGTCAATAGTTCGTGCTGAAAGTGCTTGCAAGTGCAAATGTTGTGTAAATTAATTGGAATAACAAGTGCATCATAACAAAACACCCAACACAACCTTAAGAGTCTGTCATCAGTCATCAATAACCCAAGGTGGTAAGGGTGAGAGGCAAGACGGCTACAGCGAGCTATATAACTATTGTTAATCAATTAAAAGTGATATCATGCCCACAGCCCAGTATCGTCCTTTAGATACTGGTCATGGCAGACCAGCACAAAGTTCCGTATTACGTGGTGCTCACGGCAGCAAACTACGAGCACTATGTCCCAAAACAGCCAATAGCCGGCGTATTTTTGTTTGTGTCCTGCTGCTGATGATGCTGCTGGTCTATGTAGTCTGGTGTGCAGTGGCCAATTATACGGATGATGGTAGAGCCGATACATATACTACCTCAGGTAAATTACAACAACCACACAGTACAACCGCCAGAAGCCAGGGTTGGAATTTAGTTGCAGTGGCCGCTCCTTTAATGCTAAATCAATTAAAGACCCAACAAAATAGTAGTGCTGTAGTAGAAGCTAATGTTGTTAATGTTGCTAATAACCTGCTTTATTTTAATTCCTCAATAATTGGATTAGGTTTGAGCACCCTATCACCAGCACCAGCCGGCAATAATGGCAGTGCACGTGATATGCAACGCTTGCCAAGTGAGTAAGCCAATAATTTTGGTTGTTGTTTGTTGTCGTTCGAAAACAACAAAAGGTTACACAGGCGCATTGCATATCTTAAAACATGCGCTGGTTTTTATTATTATACCAAAAAAACAAACAGGATGTAGACATCCATGCTACCAAATTCACTATATATCACACTTACTTCATGTATATTAGACCATCTCACAGAAATGGAATTAAGAATATTATCTCATAATTTAGTTTTGTTTTATGATGATTCAAAAAAAAGTTTTAATCTAGTCCAAACTTGTATATATTCTGGTCTACAGTCTAATCTATAGTCTAGATTGTATATTACAGGCTGTAAATTTTAAACACTTGCGTCTTGCGTCTTGTTTATAGCCTAGACTAGAGTCTAATCTATAGTCAAGACTAGAGTTAAGCCTATAGACTAGAGTCTAGCCAATAGTCTAGACTTATTTTTAGTCCATAGTCTAGTCTGAGCTCTATACTAGAGTCTAAACCGTGGTTTATACTAGAGTTAAGTCTGAGGTTTAGACTAGAGTCGAATCTATAGTCTCGACTAGAGCCTAGTCTATAGTTTAGAGTGCAGTCGTCTATTCTATAGTATAGAATGGAGTTTTGTCTAAAGTCTTGACTGTAATCTAGTCCATAGTGAAGACTAGAATCTAGTCTTTAGTCTAGATTAGAATCTAGTCTTTAGTCTAAATTAGAGTTCAGTCTAGAGGTTTGTCTACAGTCTAGACTAGCGTTTTGTATATAGTTAAGGCTAGAGTTTAGTTTATAGCCTAGAGTTTAGTCTACAATGGACTCTAGTAAAGCTAGAATCTAGTCTATAGTCTAGATTAGAGTTTAGTCTATAGTCTTGACTAGAGTTTTGTCTATAGTCTAGATTAGATTTTAGTTCATAGCCTAGTCTAGGGTTTTGTCTACAGTGTAGTCTAGAGTTCAGTCTATAATCTAGATTAGAGTTTAGTCTATAGTGTATACTAGAGTCTAGTTTATAGTCTAGATAAGAGTCTAGTTTATAGTCCAGTCTTAGGTCTATACTAGAGTTCAGTCAATAATCTGGTCTTAAGTCTAATCCATAGGGTCTAGGATCTTTTGTATAGTTATGACTGGGATCAAATCTATAGTTTATAGTCTGTAGTCTAGTCTAGATGCTAGTCTGTTGTCTATTTAAGCAATCATCTTATAACCAAACTATAAGAAGGTGTTAACAGTATTTCTCTTTCTCCCTGAGACGCTCCAATATACAAATATTCCCTATTATTTACATTTAATTTTTCCCTTTAGCACAATAACCTTTTTCCAAGAAATTTTCCATTAAGCAAGCACCATCATTTACACAAATATATTGCATGTTAAATTGCACTTTAAAATCACCACACACAATCATATGGAAAAAGAAAATAAAGGTGTCATTTGGTGATGGAGCGCTGTTCTATGTAAATATTATTTATAAACATTTATTTTTTTGCTGCTATTTACATATGCATTCATTAATATATTTAATTACTATTAGCTATAGTTAGAGCAGGTAATAAGTTTTAATTGGTTTTCTATTTTCTAGTTAGAAAGATTGATATCTATAGACATTAGGAAAGTAGAAATATAGAATTTGGATGAAAAGAATTTGGAAAATAGTAACACAATGTTAAAGTTCAGTTAATAATAGAAATGCCTCATTTATATGGGAGTAAAGTTTATTTATGTTTTGGCAGGTTCGTGTTGAATGCTTAATTTAGTAATAATTGTTTTATTTTTATTACAAATCACAGCTAAATCTTTGAAAACCCTCCAATAAAATAATAAACATCCAAAAATATAAATTATATCAATAAAGGTTTCTCAAAGATTTCTCAAATACATACTCGTGTGCATATAAAAAATGCTGCGATAAGGAGAATTATTTTACAAATACCATAAAATGTTAGGTTCATTAACTTATAAATTGAAAATTAAGCAGCTACTGACCAACCCCCCCCCCCCCCCCAAAAGCAAATACTAACAGACTGAGAAACACCTAACATTTATTCAATTAAATTTTTATATAAAAGAAATTTGTAATTATAAAAATACTAAACTAAAACTAAATTAGAACAAAAAATTCACACACTATCAAATGAAAACAAAACTAAATCTAGTAGTTTATTTAAATAATAAGAAGCGCTAATGTTATTAAATGTTCAATATTTATTGAACATAAAAAAACCCCTAAACTATTATCGACATTTTAAGCATATAATAGTTATTATTAATCTATAGACCCAGATAATGAGCCTAATATATTTAAACAAACTCACACGTAATACATTCAATACGGGAAAACGTTAACGATAACGCAAGGGGGAGAAAGAATAGTTTTTAAACATTTTTGTTTATCTAGAAACAAATTTATTTGGCAATAGTAATGAGTAAGGTAAATAGTATTCATAAAAAATTAGGGTGACGTCGTAAACTATAAGTAATATATAGAGTCAAATTACGGCACTTAAAACGATTGAAATCTTAATAGTATTTGAATGAACAAATGCCCAAGTTTTTGTGATAAATTTATAAACCCGAGTATTTGGAATGTATTTATTTGGTCCATATATTAGGATGTTGTTGTTGTAACAGATTGACTGGATGTTATTCCTGGGGAGAATCGGGTCATTCCGGATCGGGGATCCAATTGTAGTGGAAACGATATATTCGGTAATGAAACCCTGTGTTTCAGTTAGACATTTTAAAACTTAAACTACTTTAGTATTTTGAAACTGAAAAATTAATTATTTTTTTTTATTGAGTGCCATCCTAATAGACATATTTAAATCTAATCTTAATTTTGTTATTTTCAATGAAAATTGTACTCTAAAATTGTACAGTTTATTGTAGATTTAGTTCTATTGGTATCTAACGAACTAATGATCTTTGAAAAAATGTTAAAAATGAGTCATTTCACTAAATGGCTAAGATTTTACTGAATGATAAGAATTTGTAGCGATTTTAACACTTGCAACTTTCATTGATTACAGAATGTATTTTGTAGATTAGACAAATTAAGCATATTTGCTAGACTTGCAAAGCTAATTACTAGCAATTGCTTTTCTAACGATTTTCTTCACTAAAACCTCACAAACTAGTTTGATATAACTTCTTAGATGTGGAACGTTTGCAAGGGTAAATAGCAAAATGTATGTTATGGTTTAGCATGTTTGCTAGACTTACAAAGCTAAATAGTCGCAAGTACTTTTCTACGAATTTTCTTCATAAAAGCCTCACAAACTTGTTTGATATAGCTAGCTAGATGTGCAATGTTTGCAAGGGTGAAAAACGCCAGTGTTTTTCTTATGATTTTTTTTTTTGAAAATCTCACAAATACGTTTGGTATAACTTAAATCAGTTGGCTTGATCTTTCAGATCTTCTAGATCTAGTTAGCAATGAACTTTAGTCTTGTAAATTAAGCCAATCTAGTAAAAGTTATCATGTTTGCAAGGGTACTTAAATACTTTTCTCAACAAATAACTTTTTTCACAAAACTCTTACAAAATGTTTGATTTACTAATGAAGTTTATCTTTGTTTTGCTCTAGCATATTTGCTAGACTTTGTTTGCAATGATTTTAGGTCTTGCATATAAGATCAAGTGTGGCAAAACAGAATTAAGTACCATTTATTATCGAGGTCAAGGAACCTAATGGAATTTGCAATGTTTACCAGAGTGTAATTGTTAGACTTGCTATGTTTGCAAGCGTAGTTTGCAATAAAGATTGATTACTGATACTTTTTCAACAATTATTTCTTTTTTGTTAAAATAACATAAATAAATTAGTTTTAGCATCAAAATTCTTCTCTTTTATGGTCTTGCATATTTGCTAGATCTTTTTTGCAATGATTTTTAGTCTTGCAAATTCAAAAATTTATAATAATTCACATTTTATTATAATTTATTGCTATAGTTTAGCCACCAGAATGATCTTTATTTGATTTACTATATTTACAAGACTTGCAAGAGTAGTTTACTATGAACAACTCAAATGACTTTTTTAAATTATAGAAATATCTAGTCGAATCATTTATTTGTTTTGAATTTGCATATTTTTTAAATCTTTTTGCATTAATTTTTAGTCTTGCAAATTTGATAAAGAGTTGCAAATCATAAATTTGTATCAAAATATTCTAGAAAATTGCTATATGTTTGCTACACTTTCTATTTTGGTATTGTATAGAAACCTTATTTGCAATGATTATTACCCTTGAAAATTAGCCTATGTTTGCAAGACTTGCAAGATTAGTAAAAGAATGAATACCAGTGATTCTTTTTACAAAACTCTCTGAAAATAGTTTGGTTTAAAGTAAAAAACTCTTTTCTACTTAAGTTTGCTTATATTTTCTAATCCTATTTGCAACGATTTTAGTCTTGCAAATATGATCAAAAACAGGAAATTACAAGCTGAAGGATACATATTCAACTTGCTATGTTTTCAAAGTCAGTTTATTAAGTTTTTTCCATGTCAAAACACTTTATTCCCGAAACTTCTCGAAAACTAGTTTTCTAGTTTGTTTTCTAGATCTTGTTTGTTATGATTTTTTGGTCTTGCAAACTTGATTATTTGTAGTAAATCATAATTTCTTCTTGCCAAGGCTGTTTACTAACAGCAAAACAAGATTTCACTGTAGACATTAAACCCCTTAGTAGATTTTCACTTTTATTTATCTCAAGCAATGTTTCAACATGTCATAACCCAATCAAGTGAATATAATTGATAAAAGTATTATACATAATCACGTGTAATTGTTATATATATACTATAGGTGACTGTCATTAATCAATGTTGAATGTTTAAGATAAGCGTTAAAAAATATACTTTTTAATAAGTTCCCCTTTGCCTTAACATTTTATGACTTGAATAAAAGTATATTACAAAAAGAATATTTAAATGACATTGAACTGAATTGTGTGTTTCTTTAAACGAAAATGATTGCATTTTTCTTGTTATGCTGCTAGACAATAAATTGTTATATATTATATATTTTTGTACATATGTAGGAAATATTGTTCAAATCTTTAAATAAATGTTAGCTAATTTATTAATAAAAAAAAACTAAAAAGTGTTTTATCTAGCTGTAAATAGAAAACATTTAGTAACATACTTTAAGGCTTTTATAAAATTTTCTTTTATATTTGCAGATCTATTTGATAGTAAACAAACCACAGAATTACCCTCCATACCCTGCACTGAATCTTTCGCCGATACACGTGTTTATATACAGGATAAACCACGTCAAGAATGGGATAATTTAACAATGATATATTTTGTTACACCCACTTATCCTAGACGGGAACAAGTGCCAGAATTAACCAGATTGGCTTATACCCTACTGCATGTACCACGTATACACTGGATAGTGGCTAATGATTATAATGCCTGCAATCCTTATTTGGATATTTTACTAAATAAATTTGGTAAGTTTTTTTTAGACTAAGAAAGCATTTTAAACATTAATTTGTCTCTTATTTTGTAGGCATACCCTTTACCCATTTATCTAGTCCCATGCCTGAACGTTTTCGTAATGTTAAATCCAAACCTAGAGGCGTTTCAAATAGACGAGCCGCCATGCAGTGGCTGCGTCAACGTAATATAACTACGGGAGTTTTATATTTTGGTGATGATGACAATACTTATGATCTCAAGTTATTTAGCGAGATACGTGAGACCAAAATTGTTTCCATGTTTCCCGTGGGTTTAATAGCCAGTTATGGTATAAGTGGTCCGGTTGTAAGGAAGGTAAGAGAAATTATATATTTATCCAGATTTTATAACTCTGTTAGTAATGAAATGGAATAATAAAGCTTAATCACGAGGGTAAAACCCATTCATTCAATTAACATATATTTTTTACTTTTTCCTCCTTCCCCGTAGGGCAAAGTTGTCGGTTTCTTAGACTCCTGGGTAGCTGGACGACGTTGGCCCGTTGATATGGCCGGATTTGCTGTAAGTTTAGCCTATATGGCAGAATATCCCAACGCCAGCATGCCCTTTAAACCAGGCTACGAAGAAGACTACTTTTTGCGTAGTGTAGCTCTGACTTTAGATAAAATTGAACCCAAAGGCAATAATTGCACCGAAATTTTAGTATGGCATACACAAACTAAAAATCATCCACGTGAAGCCGTAAAAATAAGTCAAGAATATTTAGATAATCGTTCAAATTTGGGTGCATTATTTAAGGCGCTAAATGAAATGGGTGTTTCGGAGGCTTGTGAAGAAGAGGGTAAGTAGTTTTGCTTTCTATGTGATAGACAAGTAATATTTAACTTTTTCCTTTTTATTGCAGGTAATAAGGCCATTATCAGCAGTAACGGCAAGGCTAAAGCTTTAAGTTATTATCTTAGCTGAGATACAATGCCATTTCAAGATTTTTTTCAAAAAATATTTTCAGTTTGAATTTAATTATTTTGTTAAAATTTTTTGTTATTTTTCTTTACTTTACTTTATTTTGCCAAAAAAGCACAATTCTAAGGTCAAGGCGTGAATTAAAGTAAAGTTTTGAAAATTTGAGTAAAAATATCTAACTAGAGTTAGTTAGATATTTAGCCCTATAAAATACTCTTTGTGTAATTTGTCTTCGCATATACGAGTACATCCTTAAGGATGAAAATATAAACCAGCCATTATAAATCTATTCATGACATTTATACAGATGTATGGTTATTTGTTTAATTTTGAAATTATCAGTTCATATTTTCTGACTAATACCTACAACAAAACTATTATTTAGTTTTTTTTTTTAATTTTGTAATTAATTTAGTTTTAAATTAACTTATTGCTTTCTTCTACTATTTATTTAAATTATTTGCTTTTTGTTTGTGATAATATTTAGGTCTCGCTTTTTGTAAATTAACTTAATATTTAATAATATTTTTAATTAATTTGTTTAAGCAGTGGGTATTTAACTTTAAAACAAAGTAAATTAATTACTACACAACTGGTACAATCAATCAAACAACACTTGGCAAGAAAACAACAAAAACAAATTAATTTTGTTTCTAATGAAACATTTCGAAAAGTTTAGTTGATAAAATATTAAATAGTTTATAATACATTTACATTAATTACAAATATAAGTAATAGTAATTTCCTTATTTTGTTTTTGGTTTTTCCATGGTTGTGTTTGCCAACATATATTTAATAATTGTGCGTGAATGTGTCATCTTAAGTCATTTGTTGCTATGCAATATTTTATAAACTATTAAGAAAAATTAATTTATTTTTTTGCCTTAAAAATTATAAGAAAAATTAAGATAAAACGAATAAATAATAATTATGCTATAAAACTGTAAGTCATCAAAACTAATAACTTAAAGAATAAGAAAAAGAAAACAAATCAAATCTTTAAATAAACAAATAATTTAAAAGAAAATTTAAAATTAATAAAGTAAAAGCACATAATAATGTTGCAACGAGTAACTAAAAAGAAACTATTTTTTTTTTATTTCTAAGGATTCAAAATTGTAAGTCTTTTCATCAAGATTATAGAACAGTTTAGAGTCAAGTCTAGAACAGTATAGCTAGGACTATTGAACAGTTTATAGTCAAGGCTAGTTAGGACTATAGAATATCATCTAGTCAGAACTATAGAACAGTCTACAGTCAGGACTATAGAACAGTCTATAGTCAGGACTATAGAACAGTCTATAGTCAGAACTTCAGAATCAATACTTGTCAAGATTATAGATCAGTAGGAGTATTGACAAACTTATTCACTTTTTGGCAACTTTGGTGACAAATTTCTTATGTAAACAGAAACACCAAATAAGACTACATCGATAGAACAACTTTTCACCGGCTAAATCAAAAGTCTCTTAGAGCGAAGATGTTGAGGGCGGTTTTCCGGCCAAAGCAAAACAACATATTGGCGACTCCTAATAAGACTACATCGATAGAACAACTTTTCACCTGTCCGACTAAATCAACAGTCACTTAGAGCGAAGATGCTGAGGGCGATTGTCCGGCCAAAGCAAACCCATATATTGGCCACTGGGAAGAAGCTTACAATAGAAATTCCGGTGTCAATAGGTTCACCTTTAGTTATAATAACTTTATAAATTAAGTTTTTTACTTCCGCCAGCGTAAATAATATACTTCCACTTTGTGGCCACCGGCGGAAGGGTTTCGGTTTTGACAAAATTTCCCCTAGACAAAACTAATTGTTGTATAAAAACTGAAACTCCGAATAAGACTACAGCGATAGAACAACTTTTTAACTGTCCGGCTAAATTAAAAGGCACTTACAGCAAAGATGCTGAAGGCGGTAGTCCGGCCAAAGCAAACCTATATATTGGCCACTGGGAAGAAGCTAACTATAGAAATTCCGGTGTCAATAGGTTCACCTTTAGTTATAATAACTTTACACATTAAGTTTTTTACTTCCGCCAGCGTAAATAATATACTTCCACTTTGTGGCCACCGGCGGAAGGGTTTCGGTTTTGACAATATTTCCGCTAAACAAAACAAGAAGTTTTGTACAAATTCTTTACAACATATAGCACCCACAACACTCAACATATTACACAATTTCATTCTAAACACAAATTTATTTCCTACTTTTTTAATTTGCCTTAAAACTTAAGTGAAATAACTAAGAAATCGCCATATTGTTTTGAGACTTCTAGAAATTACCCTACAAGAAATGAATGACCGAAACTAACACATACAAAATTATTTTACTAACACACTTGCAGATTTTTTTTTAGAGAATTCTATAAAAAAAATTATAATTCCATCAACAATGACAGCCAAATGACTGGTAAAATGACCGACACTGTACCAAACGTGTGGTATAAGGTTGCATTTGCATACGCAAGAGTGAAACAACTACATTTTGAATAATATTTTATTAAATTTTATATTACCATCAACAATGACAGTCAAATGACCGATCAAATGACTGTCACTGTGTTTCAGAGTTGTATTTTTCGTCGTTATAAATTCATTATTTCTGCGAAAGCCAAAGATCAAGAAGCGAAAAATTACAAAAATTTACAAAGTCTATAAATTATTAAAAATAAAGAGAATTATTATAAACTGAATTTAAAAAAAGTGGAGGAAGTGGAGCTGAAGATAAACACTTTGGAGTTTAATCAATCTATGGTAACATGAATACTTACTTTTGATTTTTATATTTCGATATTTATATGTATTTCTTTACAGACTTACTTATTTCCACAAATTAAAAAGAGCATCAGAGGATTTAAGATTCTGCGAGGTATGTAAAATGGTGAAATGATTATTAATTTATGTATATGCTTACTATATTAATAAAATTAAAAAAATTTATATCTTAAAATATTAATAAATTGTGTTTTATTATAAATTGATATAGCCGTCAGTTTTAACGGATATATTCATCAAGTATGATTAGTAAACAATGACCGATTAATACATCATTTTTTATTTGTTAACTGTGATGGATATATCCATCAAGCATGATCAGTCAATCGTGACTAATATTTATATCATCCTTGATTACTAAACATCAAAAGAGTGAGCAGCTCAAATATATGTGTTACAGTCGATATAATTCATAAGTGCGAGGGTGATGCAAGATCACATGGACACGAAAGTTTCCATCAAGTTTTTCATATTGCCCTTAAGAACTTGATAGAAACTTTGTTCTACGCAATGATCGATATTTCCTTCAGTAGTGTCAGTCAAATGACCGGTCAAATGACTGTCACTGTTCTTGTAGGGTAGTTTCTTCTATGTTGTTGTTGTAATTATTGTTTGCAACTTACCACACACAACATGACTTGCAAATTCTGGAGGCTTTGACAAAGAACACTTTTACTAAAGGAATTTCACTAAAAAACACTTTTATATGCTAATTGCACTTTTATTTAAATAATATAAGATATTTTCTTCTCATAATAAAAACAATAGAATGATTTTTTTATTTTACACTTAGCTTTTTGCTCGGCATTTTGCCCTTTTCTTGAATTGCTTATTTTTCATATATTTTCTTATTAAAATGCTGTAGATTTATTAAACTTTTCATACAAAACTTAATTATTAACACTTTTCCTATATTTTTTATATTTAATAACACTTTATTATTAATTTTCTTTTATATGAGTAACTTTTACACCTGCACGAACTGAAAACACGATCACTACTATTTTTCCTTACAACACTTCTTCTTTTCTTCTTCTTTTGTTTTACATTCAAGGGAGAATGACAATTAAAGAGGATACAGGAAATAATAAAAACACTAGAAGGTAATTATGCCGTGAGACATCTGGTGGAGAGTAGTAAAATGTAAACAAAGCACATTACCACACTGTAGGAAATATATACAAAGTGCTGCCAAGTTTACAAAAGTACTCATTTGAAAAAATAACCTGTACTTTTTTAACAACACTAGCGGAGACAAATAATGTTTAAATTTGGTAAATTGTTGGCCATTCAGAACTACCTACAAAACACTAGCAAAATTGGTCCATTTATGTATGTATATTAAAGTTTGAATTCGAAAAAAACTTGATCGGTCCTATACTTTTCAAAATATTTCTTTTTGAACGATTTGCAGAAGAAAAGTATTGGCCATCTTCCTTTTGATGTAACTAATGAAAAATAAGTTATATGTTGGAGATTATTCAAAAAGTAATGCAAATTGTGAAAAAATATAAAATATGCATTTATTAGATCTCGATTTATAATAACGTTCAAAATCTCAATTTTACAAAATAATTATACAATTTTATTAAATAAGTAAAAGACACAGTAGAAAACTTTGACGGCTTACAACCGATTTTAAGCCGTCGTCGTGATTTATGGTGTCAGCCGTCGCCGTTAAATTTTGTACGCAACAGAGACCAGCGCCGTATCGACCTTAGTCGGCTGAGCTAAACCGTCAAAGATTTTTATCAACAATAGTCGAAAAAGGGTAATCGGCTAAAATACATCCGCCTTTCATAATATATTGTATTTTTTATTTAATTACAAAGGAACAAAGAGTATTATTACTATAGGTTAAATCTTATTTATTTTAGTTGAAATCAGTTTATTACAACCGCACATCTTTGGAACTCATTACTAAGTTTTAACTATACTGCCAATTTTGATAATAATCAGGCTTCACTTGTCCTTTAAAAAATTACGTTAATATTCATAATTCACCTTTATATTCGATTAACTTTTTTATTAATTTAAATGTTCGATTAGTTGACTACTACTCGATTAATTTTAAACTCAAATATTTGTTTTTTAATTTCTCAATATTTTCATCTACTAATAAAAAGAATTGTAGATGGAAATGTGAAGAATAAAATAGTAAAATGTACGTTCAATTAACCGAATAAATCAAAATAATCCGATTAAGTTGAAATGTGGAACAATTGTTTGTTCAATTAATGATTTATAAACACAATCAATGACTACTTTTTTATAGTAAATTAACGCAGTCAAGTTGTGTATTTTCAGCCGGCTTACAAACAATTATCAGACGCCGTCGATAAATTTTATATCAGCCGACGTCGTCAAAACAATTACTCGGCACAGGTTTCTACGACATAATGTCGTCGTGTGAAAGAAAATTGTAAATCTTTGCACAAAAGTTAGAATTGCTCCTGGAATATAACCACAAAATAGTTAACAAATAGTAGAAAAACTTAAGAAAAAAACAAAATAAAAAACATTTCATGGTATTCAGACAATAAAAAGCAGCAGCAAAGTGTTTTAAAAGCAAGAAATTATTGTAAAAGTGATTTTTTAATGACGACGTCAATTTGCAAATAACAGCAGCAGCACAAGAAAAAATTTTCTAATAAAAAAAATTTTAACAACGCTGTCTGCAAGGGATATTGTGAACAGATTTCAGAAAAGAAAAGCTAAATCAAAGAACTGGAGTTTTGGAACTAAAGAAAATATTTAATATTTTTGCAATTGCTAAAGAAAAAATGCAAATCCCTAGACTATTGGCGAGCGAGGTCGACTTTTTCAAAGGCAAAGCTTAGCAGAGCTCTGCGAAATGCGTACATCCGATACCGCAGCCATTAAGGCAGAGAAAAAAGTGAAATTATTATTGTGTGTTAATCAGAAATTATATAGAAAAACTTGATATTTTTTCTTTAAAAAAAGAAGTAAACGTTTATTTATCAAGAGTATTTTGACAACATAAAGAAAAACCCTAAAACAATACAAAGGAAAAATAGACATTTTTGCCTATTTTGGGACTATATAGTGATTTATAGCTCGAGTTTTTTGCTTTTTTTCTGGCGATTGTAATAAAAATTTTGTAAAGTGAACGGTTCGGTTGGTCGTGGAAACGAATATAAAAATTAAAAAAAAATAATATAGAAAAAAATATTGTGGTGTTTGAAAATATACACGTTGGTAGTTTTTCTAACTTTTTAATTTTGATAATTAAAGAAAATCTTTTTAAAATTAAATTAATACAAAATAAAAAAATAATAAAACTTTTTTGTCCATTGTATGGCTGAATATTATGCAAAACATACTGTACTAAAAAAAGCTGGTGAACAAAAACAACAAAAAAAAAGAAAGAACAATATTCAAGTGATTTTCGTGTTTCATTTAAACAGCAGCAGAAAAAAACCTGATTTTTTTCCAATTTGGAATAGGATTTAAGCAAAAATATACAAGAAATTATAAAAAAAGCCTCCGAAAAAAAGAAAATCCAAAAACAAAAAAGAAAATAAAAACAACATTAGTGTGATTTAAAAGTAAGTAAACTTGATTAAGTAAAATATTTTCCAAAAAAAAAAAACTAGGGAAAAAAGTTGTGTATTTAATTAAAGTTTTTTTTTTGGAACCAAGAGTTACAGCGCGAGCAATGAAATTTTGCTTGAATAGAGAAAACATGCACAAACACACATATATTATGCACATACATTAATACACACAAACACTCATATGTATATACACTGTCTGTCCGTCCAACCAACCAACCATTCGTCTGTCTGTCCATCCGTTCATCTGTCTGTCTGTCGTTTTGTATGTATGTTTGCCCATACAGATATTGAAAGAGGAGGTAAAAAATATGATGTCGATTGAATCGAGTGTATATGTTTGTGTATGAATGTGTAATACTACTACTACCACTACTTTAGCTTTTCTCTCATATAACGCTCATTTCCGTAAAGATTGTCATAATTCCAAAAAAACAACCTAATTTTGACAAACAATAGCCTTAAAAACTTTACACCAATTTTACTAATTTTTTTTAAATAATTCTCCACATTTTGGAAAAAAATCTTGGTTACAGAAGTAACTTACAGAACTACAAACGCCTATATTTTATTAAACCGAATAAAAATCCCTGAGTTTTTAACTTAACACATTGTTAAAATAAATGAGCTTTATATGTACTATGTATGCGTGTGTGTTTGTCAGTGCGTGTATAGTGTTTGTTGTTGTTGGTATTTTTTTTTTATTATTTACTTTACCACTATATATGAGAGGTGTGTAAGTGGTTGTAATTTTTTTTATTAAATCTATTGTTTTGAAAAGATAATTTTAAACTTCAGAAAATTTCCCTAAAGTTTTCATCTTTCCAACTCTGTGTTCAATTTCAAATCAATTTAAACATAAAATCCTTTTAAAATACTTACTCTATCTACTACAGGGTGCAAAATGATTCGTTATCGCTTACTCTTAAATTTCACGAGTGTTAGTACAAATGTATTTTCTTTATATAAACCTCGGTGGGGGTTGTTTGCCTGATTAACAAGAACAACAACAACAGCAAAAGTTCCATAAACGGAAAAAATCTATTGCATGAGAGCTTACCCCTTAAAAAAAAACTTTAAACATAATTTGTCGTCTTTCAAACAATATTTATGATGAAACTTTATTAAACATATTGCACTATTTTGTTAAAACTATTAAAAATCTCTAACAAATTTATTTAATTTTCTAGCCTTTTGTTATAAAAAGTAATTAAATTATAATTTTAAAACTACTTTTTAAATAAGTTAATTCTTTTAAAGAAAAATGTTATTATATAGAAAAAAATCTATTTTATTAACTAATGTTTATTAGTCATAAATTTTGTTAAACTTCTATAGCTTCACAACCTGCCCATAGATCATTTTTTCTTTCTACTTTGCACTCTATGTACCACCAAATGCCAGAAATTTGACAAAACTAAACAAAATGGCGAATTTCACCACAAAGTATTTAATCAATTAAAACAAGTATTATAAAATCTTTTTAAAATTACTGAAAGAAACTATTAAATATTATTTGCTTTATAAAAAATAATAAAAAAAATTAAACAAAACTAACAATTGTTTAAAAATCTATAAATAATTCTATATCTTTGTATAAAAAATAGTAAAAAAGTGTAAAAACTAATTAATGTTTATCAATCTTATAATATCTCAATAAATTTTTGTGTGTGTTTTTTTTTTTTAATTTATTAAAAGTATTTAAATATAATTTAAAATGTTTTGTGGTTTTGCTTGCATTAATTTTGAAAACAAAAATTATATGACTAAACTATTAGTGAAAGTGTTTAAAATACTAAAATGTTATAAAAATTAACATTATTATCAATATTCTTTTAAACAAATATGTAATAAAAAATTAGAAAGAAAAGCAAACAATTTTACAAACGTTCTACAATATAATAAAAAAGTAATAAGTATGTGTTCAATGTGTATAATGTGTATATAATAAAGTGATTTCTACTAGACAGGACTATATCCTAAACTATATCTCAAAATAAAGACTAGACGATATGTAGTTCAATCTATAGATTACAGTTAGGAATGTAGACACAACTTTAGTGCAAACTTAAGAAAAAAACTATAGTCTAGACTATAAACTATTCTATAGTCGAGAATAATGGGAAGACTATAGTCCAAATTAAACAATAGACTACAGTCCACAAGACTAGTGTTTAAAATATATGAAAGAACATAATCCAGATTGTAGACGAAACTATCGACAGGACTACAGTTTAGTCCATAGTTCAGACCGCAGTGCAAACTAAAGATTATAGTCCAGACTATAGACAATGCTTATAGACAAGTCTATTGTCCAAACTATAGACAAGACTATAAACCAGAATCTCGACTAGAAATTAGAAACTCTATACTGATCTATAGAGAATATTGTAGACCAGACTTGATTTTAGAAAAGGCTATAGACTATACTAAAGATATATATAGACAAGTCAATAGTCCGGAATATAGACAAGTCCATAGTAAAGCCTATAAACCAGATTCTCGACTAGACATTAGACTTAACTGTAGACTGACCTATAGAGTATATTGTATATCAGACTATTGACATAACTAGACTATAGACTAGACTATAGTTTAGGTTAAGTCTTGACTGCATAGCAGTTTCTTTAAGAATAGTTTAAACTCAAAATATTTTAAAATTATTGTTTTTTTTAATAAAAAGAATCATATTTGCTTCAAACATCGAGGAAACCTTATAATCAACATATAATTCACAATTATTTAACACGTCTCATTTTAACCTTTTATAATTTAGGTCAAAACTTTTGAAACCTTTTTTAGATTTCATTAAACTCTTTTAATATTAATAATACTTTTCATATTAACTATAAAATTTAATAAAAGATTTCAATTACAATTGTTACAACAAAATTTCATTTGTCACTATTTATAATAGAATCTTATGAATTTATATTTGTTGGTTGGTTCGTTTGTTTGTTTGATCTGAGCCAAAGGGTACACATATTGTTGTAAAGCCATTACGATGCACATTGTAAATATTGTGCCGCCAACATATTGTACTGCAACTCTCTACTAATAACATTCATTACAAACCACACATATTTCTTCTGCACTTGCGCAATATTGTTTTTTTCTTTGAATACGTATCACCACATCTTGCCAACATAACTAACCCCTTGTCGTTTAAATTCTACTTACTATCATTTGTTTTTTTATGTTTTGTTGTACGTATTCTTAACAATAACATAAGTTGTAAACGTATTCAACTTTAGACATATTAATATACCATTCTTTTAAAATTGTTTATTTATTCATATAGTAATATGCAAGTAATATGGTAATATTTGAAGGATTTGTTAGATTTTTTTAAATTTTCTTTTAAAGTTTTGTTATGTCTTGGGGTTTTTGTTATGAGACTTGAGGTAAAGTTATATATTTTTAATTCAATTATTATAGGACAATTTTTTTGTGTTAAGAAAATAAAATCAATAATTTGTCAAGTGTCAGTTTACAGGCAATAAAATGTTTAATTGATATTAAAAAGAAATTTGTTCAAAGAATTTGGAATGTGAATAAAATTGTGAAAAAATTGTAAATACATTTTTGTTATTTAAAAGTTTTTTTTTTTTAATTTTGTGTGGTTTTTTATTCCTACATATTTTTGTTTATCGTAATTGCCTATTTTTAACTAATTGTTTTTAAGTTTGAAACAGTTACTAATAATATTAAAAAAATTAATGAGGTTTACTCACTCAGAGAACAAATTAAATTAGCTTTACCTGTGTTGTAGGTGGCAAAACGTTATAAATTAAATACAGTAATTATTTAAAAATTAAAAAAAAAAAAACAGTTCAACAAAGTGAAAATATAATGGACTATAGACTAGACTATAGACTAGACTATAGACTAGACTATAGACTAGACTATAGACTAGACTATAGACTAGACTATAGACTAGACTATAGACTAGACTATTGACTAGACTATAGACTAGACTATAGACTAGACTATAGACTAGACTATAGACTAGACTATAGACTAGACTAGACTATAGACTAGACTAGACTATAGACTAGACAATAGACCAGACTATAGACTAGACTATAGACTAGTCTATAGACTAGACTATAGACTAGACTATAGACTAGACTATAGACTAGACTATAGACTAGACTATAGACTAGACTATAGACTAGACTATAGACTAGACTATAGACTAGACTATAGACTAGACTATAGACTAGACTATAGACTAGACAATAGACTAGACATAGAATAGACTATAGACTAGACTATAGACTAGACTATAGACTAGACTATAGACTAGACTATAGACTAGACTATAGACTAGACTATAGACTAGACTATAGACTAGACTATAGACTAAACTATAGACTAGACTATAGACTAGACTATAGACTAGACTATAGACTAGACTATAGACTAGACTATAGACTAAACTATAGACTAGACTATAGACTAGACTATAGACTAGACTATAGACTAGATTATAGACTAGACTGTAGACTAGACTATAGACTAGACTGTAGAATAGACTATAGACTAGACTATAGACGAGACTATAGATTAGACTGTAGACTAGACTATAGACTAGACTATAGACTAGACAATAGACTAGACAATAGACTAGACTATAGACTAGACTATAGACTAGACAATAGACTAGACAATAGACTAGACTATAGACTAGACTATAGACTAGACTATAGACTAGACAATAGACTAGACAATAGACTAGCCAATAGACTAGACTATAGACTAGACTATAGACTAGACTATAGACTAGACTATAGACTAGACTATAGACTAGACTACAGACTAGACTATAGACTAGACTATAGACTAGACTACAGACTAGACTATAGACTAGACTATAGACTAGACTACAGACTAGACTATAGACTAGACTATAGACTAGACTATAGACTAGACTATAGACTAGACTATAGACTAGACTATAGACTAGACTATAGACTAGACTATAGACTAGACTATAGAGTAGACTATAGGCTAGACTATAGACTGGACTATAGACTGTACTAGTGAATTTAAAAAATAATGAATTTATGAAATTTATTTAGTTTTTAATAAATTTTTTTAAATCTCAATAAAATTTGCGATCTCTGTAATTTTAATAAAATGTCTAAAAACCATTAAACACCACTTGCTGTTACTTTTGATTTTCACCATTTTGTCAACTCCAGCTTTTGAACTCTAAGGAACAAAACTTGTAATAAAAAAAATATTCTGTAACACGTTGTCAAGGATATTATTTCCATTGGTGATGTAAATAGGATCATGTATTACGATTGATTTGATTTACATTTTCATTTCTAACGGGCGGAAAACAAGTTGTGTACAATAACTGATAACAAAAAAATGTAGTTTTACCCTTAAGCACTAGCAAAGCACTGTTATCAGTTAAAACTCCCTTTAATAATAAGAAAAAATCTTCATCAAACCTATACACATAGTAAAGGAAATAGGAATAACTATCTTAATTACCACAAATTTTTCGTTTTTATGAAAGTATCACCCCCCTTACTCGATACACTCGAAAGTTAATAACAACAGCAACAATAAGCAACCATACAACGTAGCCTTTTCAGTGCATATGCAATGACTATGATGAGAGTGTATTGTAACACAAACTGTGTACTTGTGTGTGTGTGTCTATTTGAAAAGTTAGCGAACACTTTCAACCCCAAAACTTTTTGTATTTTTGTTTAAAGCGTTTATTTTCTGTTTCTTTTTTTTCCAAAATGTTGTGTTTCCATTGAATGGAATTATGTAAACAACTTGTATATATCGTTTGATTAATAATAAAGTAAATATTTCTTGTTTGCAGACTCCTTAAACACGCGACAGATAGAGTAGAAACGTTGAAATAGAGAACGCAGAGAATAATGTCCACAAAGATAACTGCTTCAGCCGATAGTAGTAGTAACACTACCGCCAGTCCAGCCGCAACTTCGTCAATGTCTACTGCAGCAAATGGTTCCACAACACCCGCCAGACGTCTACGCACCAGAACCTCAACCGGTGGTAATGTAAGTGGTGGTGAATCAGCTCAAAAGAAATATGGCCCACTCACCGAAAGAAGTGACTCAATTTCCAATGCGTCCAGCACGACTACAGGAAATGAAGACAAACCAAGTGCAAGTAAAAAATATCACAACAGTTGTCCTCAACCGCCAACCAGTTCTGGCCGCAAAGAAAAGAATCATTCTCAACCTCACAGCTCCAGTACTTTCAATATGAATAAAACGGAAGAGTTTAACTTTGATACACCCTTGGAGTGTCCAGTGTTTCGCCCCACAACGGAGGAATTTAAAAATCCTTTGGCCTATATCAGTAAGATACGACCGATTGCCGAAAAATGTGGTATAGCCAAGATTTTGCCACCGGAGTCCTGGTCGCCACCGTTTGCAGTGGATGTGGATAAATTGAAATTTACGCCACGTGTTCAACGTCTCAATGAATTGGAAGCTAAAACACGTGTAAAATTAAACTTTCTCGATCAAATAGCGAAATTTTGGGAATTGCAAGGTTCTTCTCTCAAAATACCCATGGTGGAACGCAAAGCACTCGATTTATACACACTACACCGTATTGTTCAGGAAGAAGGCGGAATGGAGCAGACAACCAAGGAACGCAAATGGGCCAAAGTAGCAAATCGTATGTCTTATCCTTCTAGTAAGAGTGTGGGTGCCACGCTTAAGGCCCACTATGAACGCATTCTGCATCCTTTTGAGGTCTATACATCGGGCAAAGTTTTGGGACAAGGTAGTGGTACTGTAGGCAGTCCAGATGTTAAGCTAGAAGATGGCACCGATTACAAGGCCCATGAGATACCCACACGTCAACAAATTGCTCCACCCAATGAGACCAATGCCAGGCGTTCCAAACGTTTTGCAAATTCTAGTGCCAGCTGTGGCTTGGGCGTTAATCGTGGTGGTGTCAAAACCGAGACCAAGGAAGACTTTAAACGCGATTTATTAAGTTGTTTCAATGCTTCTGCAGCTTCAGCCGCCAATCGGGCAAATGCTGGTAATGGCATTGCCGGCTCAGCCCAAAAGAAGGCTCCCGATCCCAATGCTGCCGTGGATCCTTTAATGAAATACATTTGCCACATCTGTAATCGCGGTGATGTAGAGGAATCAATGTTATTATGCGATGGATGCGATGATTCATATCATACCTTCTGCTTGTTGCCACCTTTATCCAGTATACCAAAAGGTCTGTATTGCACAAAAGTAACAAACATTTCTAATGTTAATGTTATTTTATTTCTTCTTTTTAGGTGAATGGCTTTGTCCACGTTGTGTGGTGGAAGAGGTTAGCAAGCCCACCGAAGCCTTTGGTTTCGAACAGGCCGAACGTGAATACACTTTGCAGCAATTTGGTCAGATGGCTGATCAATTTAAAATGGACTATTTCCGTAAGCCGGTACATTTAGTGCCCACCGATTTGGTGGAGAGAGAATTCTGGCGTATAGTTTCCTCCATCGATGAGGATGTAACAGTGGAATATGGCGCTGATCTTCATACCATGGATCATGGTTCGGGTTTCCCCACAAAAAGTTCTCTCTACTTGTTACCCGGAGACCAGGAATATGCCGAATCGAGTTGGAATCTAAACAATTTGCCTTTGCTGGAAGATTCAATACTGGGACACATAAATGCCGACATTAGCGGTATGAATGCTCCTTGGATGTATGTGGGTATGTGTTTTGCCGCTTTCTGTTGGCATAACGAGGATCACTGGAGTTATTCTATCAATTATTTACATTGGGGTGAACCGAAAACCTGGTATGGTGTACCCGGCAGTTGTGCTGAGCAATTTGAGGAAACCATGAAACAGGCTGCCCCTGAATTATTTGCTTCACAGCCCGATTTATTGCATCAGCTAGTAACCATTATGAATCCCAACATATTGATGAACAATGGAGTGCCCGTTTATCGCACCGACCAGAATGCCGGTGAATTTGTGATAACATTTCCTCGTGCCTACCACGCCGGTTTTAACCAGGGCTACAATTTTGCCGAAGCGGTTAATTTCGCCCCAGCCGACTGGCTTAAAATGGGTCGTGAGTGTATAAATCACTATTCGATGTTGCGTCGTTTCTGTGTTTTCTCGCACGATGAACTTGTCTGTAAAATGGCCCTCGAGCCAGCCAAGCTGACGTTTGGCATAGCCACCGCCTGTTACATTGATATGGCTGAAATGGTTGATTCCGAGAAAAAATTACGTAAATCTCTGTTAGAATGGGGCGTTACCAGGGCAGAGCGCAAAGCATTTGAACTGATACCAGATGATGAACGCCACTGTCAAGAGTGCAATACAACATGTTTCCTTTCGGCCGTCTCTTGTGAGTGTACAAAGACTATAGTTTGCTTACGCCACTATACCGTCTTGTGCACTTGTCCACCGGATAAACATACTTTATTGTATCGCTACACACTCGATGAGATGCCCCTGATGTTACAAAAACTCAAATCTAAAGCTCAAAGTTTCGAGAGATGGTTGTCACGGTGCCGGGACATCGTAGATGCCAATACACCCACTTCAGTAACCTTGCAAGAGCTCCAAGAGTTGTGCAAGGAGGCGGAGATTAAGAAGTTTCCCTCGTCTCTATTAATTGATCGCCTTAATGCTGCTGTCTTGGAGGCAGAGAAATGTGTTACAGTGATTCAACAGTTGGGTATAAATAAGGTAAGAAACTCGTTTCCTAATATGTTAATAGTTCAGTTCTAAGTATGTTCAAGTTCAGTTCAGTTCTAGTTCTTGTTCGGTTCAGTTTTAGTTCAATTAACTTCAGTTCTATAATTCACAAAACAATGCTTATATTTTACTGTCATTTAAGGTTCGCACCCGTTCCGATAATAATTTGGAAGCTGCACAGTACAAACTCACAATGGAGGAACTTGAACTTTTTGTTCAGGAAATCGATAATCTCTGTTGTACCATCGAGGAGGGTGTTTCAGTGCGAGAACTGTTAGTTTTAGGCAAACAATTTGTAGAACGCACCAATGAAATGCTAAAGCATTCATTAGATGCTCTAGAGGAATCGGAATTGGAAGCCATTATCGGAGAAGGCAACTCACTGCGCATTGAATTGCCCCAAATGCAGCAATTAAACATGCGACTCAAACAATTAAAATGGTACAAACGTTCACAAGGCCTAAGGGCTGCCAGTGCAAAACTTACTTACGATGACGTTAAGAATTTGTTGCATGTAGCAGCCGCTGAGATTGCACCCACAGATCCCATAATTGATGCAGAAATACGCAAACTGCAAGAGATTGGAGCCTCAATAGAAGCCTGGGAATGCCAGGCCAGCAAATATTTTAATTGCAGTACGCAACGCCATGAACTGGTGGAAATTGAACAATTCCTTAAAACCGCCACTGATATAGAGGGTTTGGTGCCATCCTATAGTATACTAAAGGATGCCCTACGCAAGGCCAAAGAATGGTTAAGGTCTGTTGAACAGCTGCAAGCCAATGACCACTTTCCCTATTGTCATACTCTAGAAGCAATTGTCAATCGTGGTGCGAGTATACCCATAAGACTGGAGGAACTTTTGCGTATGCAGGGCCATCTGAAAAGTGCTCATGACTGGAAGGAGAATACCGAAAGAGCATTTTTAAAGAAAAACACCTTCTATACACTTTTGGAGGTTTTAATGCCCCGCGGAGAGTCGGTCATTATTGACTCGGATCTAAAGAAAAAATTCGAAGATGATTTCGTTAAAGAAATGAATCCTGCACAAATTGTGGAATCATTTAAAATAGCCGAGGAAAAGGAATTGCGTGATATGCGAGAACACAGACGACAAAATATGACTAAAAATCCTCTGCGCGATGACTACTGTCTCTGCAAGTCATCTTTCCAGGGTGTAATGTACAATTGTCAATTATGCCGGGATTGGTTCCATGAGGACTGTGTACCGCCGCCACCACAAACGAATTGTGCTGCAGACGAAGGCCTCAAAATGAAGTGGTTGTGTCCTTCATGTGTTCGTTCAAAGAGACCACGCCTGGAAACTATATTACCCCTGTTGGTGTCCTTACAAACGTTACCCATACGCTTGCCCGAAGATGAAGCTCTACGCTGTCTAGCGGAAAGAGCCATGAATTGGCAAGATCGTGCCCGTAAAGCCCTTACAAGTCCCGATGTTACAGCTGCCTTAGAAGTTATAGCTGCGGCGGCCCAGCAAAGGAATAACAAACAGAAGAAACGTAAAGGCGCTAAGGAGTCAGGAGCAGCACGCAAACCACGACGCAGTAGTCAACGTAACTCCAAAGATGAGGGTTCCGACAATGGCGATTCAGATGATGAGGGACGTTTACATATAGTGGAGGAAAACTTTAGTAATGATGAGGAGGAAGAGGGCGAAGCGAATGCAACAAACGATAACGCCAACAATACACACAATGGTCTCCAGTTGCAGAAGTTATTGTCCGATAGCGAAACAGACAATCTCGACGAACTGATGATGGAAGGCGACCTTCTAGAAGTATCACTCGATGAATCACAAGAACTTTGGAGGGTGCTTTCCACAGTACAACCAGCCCAGCCTTCCGAAGCAGCAGCACTTGTTGAACAGCATCAAACGATGCTTAAGCAACAGAACCAACAAAACCAACAACCGCCTTCCAGTGTCAATTCAGCAGCCGAAGACTCCAACGACAGCTTAATGGTACAGAGCAGTCCCAACAGCACTAGTAATAGTGGTAGCGGCAATGGACGCTCATCAGCCAGTGTGGTTAAGAAGCGACGTTCTCTGGATCCCACAACGGGATGTCCTGTGCCTAGGAAAAAAATTGCCACACCGAACAAACATAATGCCGGATCAAACACAACTACGACGAAAAAATCTTCACGGAAATCAGATGCCAATAGCAAGTCTGTAGCTGCAGCAGCAGCCGATGACAATTCCGAGAATTACACACCCACCAAACAATCAAATGGCGGTAACCAAAATCAAAACAATAACAGCACTGCTTCCGGTTCGCAAAAGAAACACCGCAAGCGAGTGGGAGGCAATAATAACAACAGCAACAACACAGTAACGGCTAGTCAAAAGAAGAACTCTCAAAGAGCTCAAATGGCTCAGCAGGAGGATGACGAAGAAGAATGTCGTGCCGAAAACTGTCACAAACCAACCGGACGCGAAGTTGACTGGGTGCAATGTGATGGCGGCTGTAACGAATGGTTCCACATGTATTGTGTTGGACTCAATCGCAGTCAAATCAAGGCAGATGACGACTACATTTGCATACGTTGTTCAAAGAATGTCACCGTAACCACAACGGGTGGCGGAACAGCAGCAGCAGTGACGACACAACAAAAAGGCCGCTCCCAAACGGCACGATAAATGTTGATGATGATAATGATGATAAAGGCCAGCCGTCTAAATAATTTCTTGTATACATAATAGTAAATATTCAATCGATATTAAATTTAACAAAAAAAGAAGATTCTGTTTTAAATGGGCATAATTTTTTTTTGTGAAACACACACTTTAATCCCTCCCTAACCCAAGCTACTCCCACATGTTCTTCTCCTACTACTACTACTACAGCAACTTCTCTATTACTTTGTTTTTCTATTTAGTAACAAGAGAATTACGAATACAAAACACACACGCAAAGCCAAGCAAACAACCAACCAACTAATAAACCTCTGAAATATGAAGTAAATGAATAAATGAATTAAGTTATTTTAGCACAGAATTCCTTTAACACGCAGCTAGAAACTTTACTTTCAAAACAGAACTTAAAACTAAAACTCAAAACGACGATGAGCCAAACATCATCCAATTGTTAAGGAAGAAGCAACAATTACAAATGAATTGAAATGATGACAAACCAGAAGAAATCTGCACTTGCAACTTGCAACAACTGTATATGGAAAACATAATTAATAAGAATTATATTTAGCAACAATGTATTTAGTTTTCTTTTTTTTTAATTACAGAAAGTTTTAAGCAAGAGTTCGATTTTTTCTCTACAATTTGCTAAATTGTTACTAATTAAAACGAAAAATTATAGATTGGTAGTAGTTTTTTTGTCTGAATTTTCTTTTTTTTTATATAAATATATACTTATATACATATATATAAAGAAATATATAATATTTTTATGATTTTACTGAAAATAAAAGCGATAACTTATATGTAATTTTTATTTAATTATGTTAGTTTGTATTTGTAATTTGTAATGCTTAATTAGTATGTAACACTCTGCCCAATAATAATAATAATAATATGATTAGAGTATAGCAAATATATGTATATGTGTGTATATACATATAAATATTTATTATTACATACATACATATATGCATATATATTTATATATACTTAAACAAAAAGGAAAAAAAAATAATTAAAACAAAAGAAAAAAAAGTAACAATGAGTATAAGAAAACGAGAAAAAAATTCTATAAATAATTACACCTAGATTTAAATACATAATATACATATGTACAGATAATGTACTACGGATATGTATGTATTATTTGCAAAATTTTGAAAAATATAATAAAACAAAATTTAATCAAAAATAATAACAAAACAACTCTAATAAAAACCATAAATTATATAGAAAAAGACGAAGACTAGAAAAATAAAATGAAAATTTCTTATAAACAGACAGCAGGACTGACTGACTCTCTCTCTCTCTGTCAAAGACTTATCAAAGACATAACTTTTGGACCTAACGTTTGCAACCTTTAAAGTAGTAACTTTAGCCTAAAAAACACAATTCTTTCTTTTCTTTTTAAACATATTGTACATTTTTTATTTCTTTTTTTAACGTGTAAAAATTAATTAAATTAATATATTGACTAATATAATACTTTGATTACATTTTTAGCATATAAAATCCACACACACACACACAGTTACACAACCGTACATATATATACATACATTAATAAATAAATACATACATACTTATATATATATATATTATGAACCCTTAAATTTAAATTTGATGTAATTCTATATGATTAAAAACACAAAAAAAAAAACAAAATAAATGTAGTATTTTAAACATTAGTTTAGTTTTATTTGGTTGAATCACCAGGAAGGAAATCACTTTAATGCAATTATTATACTTAATAGAACCCATGAAATATTTTGATTGCTTCTTAAAGAAGCTATCCAAACGGTTGTCCGAAAACTGTACTACTGATAGAGCCGTGAATTGACAGAATTGAGCACGAAAAGCCCATACGAGTGCCGATGTTAAGACGAGATTTAGAAGCAAAGCAAGAGCACTAAAGACGCAGAAGCAACTTGGCAGCAATCCGATGAAAATCCACCCGGGTTTACAATGGGGGGAAAACATTTGTAACAATTAAGACATCGAAGTAGAAGATGAAGCAAAGGTAATCCTAGCATATCGAAATTCTTTTAAAACTTCTCATATTTTTGTAAAATTTTAAAATTAAGTTTTAATTTTTTTGTGAAAGTTCTATTAAAAAATTCAAATTTCTAGCAAAATCTCGATATTCGTGAGATTTATAATTTAATTTTGTGAAATTTCGAATTTTGTATTAAAATTTCAAATTTTTACCAAAATTTTTTAGCAAAATTTCAAACTTCAGTGAATATTTAAAGTTTTTAGTGAAACTTTGAATTTCCAGTAAAATTTAAAATTTTTAGTGATATTTCGAATTTCTAGTCAAATTTCGAATTTATAACGAAATTTCAGTAAATTTTTTACTCGAAATTGTGAAATTTCGAATTTATGGTGAAATTTTTAAATTATAGTGAAAATTCTAAATTTTTGGTGAAATTTCAAATTTGTAGTGAAACTTTGAATTTCTAGTGACATTTTAACTTTCTAATAAAATTTAAATTTTCTAGGGAAATTTCGAATTATTAGTGAAATTTCGAATAATATTATATTTCGAATTTCTAGTGAAATTTAATATTTACATATACTGAAATATGATTAATTAGTGAAATTTTATACTCAAATTTGTAGTGAAATTTTGAATATGTGGTGAAATTCAGAATTTTTTGTGAAATTTCGAGTCTGTAGCCACTCGAAGTATCGCTACAGACTCTTCTAGTAAAATTTCAACTTTCTAGCGAAGTTTCAATTTTCTATTGAATTTCTAAAGAAATTTCGAATTTGTGGTGAAATTGCGAAAGCATATTTCGAATTATTGGTGAAACTGTATTGAAATTTCGAATTTGTAGTGAATCTTTGTATTTCTAGTGAAATTTCTAATTTCTGCGAATTTCAAGTGAAATTTCACGTTCCTAGTGAAAATTTGACATTCTACAAATTCATTCCAATTTCGCTTTTTTAATGAAATTTAAAATTTCCTGAATTCTACTGAAATTTCGAATATCTTATGAATTTTCCAATTTCCTGTGAAATTTCGAAATTCTAGTGATTTATAGTGAAATTTCGTACTCCTAGAGAAGTTTTCAAAATTCTAGTAAAATTTCGAATTTCTAATAAAACTTCGAATTTTTAATATAATTTCGAATTTCTAATGAAATTTCGAATATCTAGTCGAATTAAAAATTCTAGTGATTTATAGTGAAATTTCAAACTCCTAGTAAAGTTTTCGAAACTCTAGTGAAATTTCGAATTTCTAGAAAAATTATGAATTTCTAGTAAAATTTCAAATATTATGTAAAATTTCTAGAAATTTCTAGTTAAATATAGAAATTCTAGTCAAAATACGAATTCCATTGAAATTTCGAAACAAGTTAAACTTGGAATTTCCTGTGATACTATTTCGAATTTCTTAAATTTGGAATTTTTTGTGAAATATTAAATTTCTCACTTCTAATAAAATTTCAAATTATTAATGAAATTTCGAAAATCAAGCGAAATTTTGAATTTCTTATGTGATTTCGAAAATCTAGAGATTTGTAGTGATTTATAGCTTTATAACAAATATTAAGTAAAATTTAGGTAACACTTTGATAATCCAGCGAAAATCTAGTGAAATTCGAAATTCTATGATTTTTATAGTGAAATTTTCGAAGTTCTAGTAAAATTTCAAATTACTAGTGTAATTTTCAATATTAAGTCAAATTTTCAGTAACACTTCGAAAATCCAGCCAATTTATAGTTAAATTTCTTGTCAAATTTCGAAAGTTTAGTGAGATTTCGAATTTGTATTGAAATTTGAAAATTTTAGTAAAATTTTGAATTTTTTGTGAACTTCGAATTTCTAATCAAATTCCGAAAATCAAATGAAATTTTGAATTTATAGTAATATAACAAAAATCTAGTGAAATTGCAAAATTTCAGTGATTTATTAAAATTGTAGTGAAATTTCGAAATTTTAGTGAAATTTGAAATTTTAGTGAAAAGTTATCAAAATTTTAGTGAAATTTGAATTTCTAGTAATTTTATAACAAATTTATTGGTTAATAGCGAACTTTTTAAACTTAACTGTCAATGGTAATTTGTCATTTCCTGTCAGAAGAAGGAGAATAAACAAATAAAAACACAACACTGGGTATTAATACCGTTATATCTACAAGAGCCGACCAATACTATTTCCTTTTTATGCGTGCTTTTCCCTTTTTTTGTGAAGGCAATTTGCATGTTTTTGTTTTTGGTCTCTTCTAACTCTCTCACTTTTAAGCTTACACTCTCACGCTCTCTCGATGTGTGAATACTGACTGGTGCGTTAGTTTTTTCTTTTTTGAATTGCAAAGGAAACAAATACTCCAGTTGTGTCAGTCATTTAACCGTTGATGAATTTAGTAATAACTTTTTCGCAACTACTGTCAGCTCGTACAAATACAAAAAATTTTTAACGTGCTAAAAACAACAAGAAAAATAGAAGCAAATAGAAAGAAGAAAAAAACTTGTTAAAATAAAATTTATATACACATATAGAGAGATATATTTTTTTGTACAACAGCAAAATTCGCAAGTGAATAAAAAGAAATTTAAATAATAATAAAAAAATTGTAAAACAGTGCAAAAAATATAGAAAGAAAATTATAATGGAAAAGTCTGCAAACAACAAAAAGTTTGATTTAAAGATAAAAGTGAAAATTAATAATTAAAAAAAAGTGAGTGATTTTTACGTATCTACATATTTGTATGTGGGAATGAATGTGTGTGTATGGATATATATATGTATGTATGTAAGTGTGAATGTATGAATATGTATACGAGTGAGTGTAGAGCAATTTGGAAATGTTGCCTTGAAGCACCACACACAGGAGTGATAACTTATCCATAATAGAAAAAATGGAAACACAAAAACAACAATTTGTATAGAAAAATAAAAAAATGTATAAGGAGGTGGCCAACAATGAAACAACTAACCAACCAACCTACCACCAGTCACACAGGGGACTCTAACGTTGGGACAATGGTCTATTTAACAAAGTTATTAACATACAAAAGCAACAAAAATCATAATTGTGATTTTGATTTTTCCTCAACTAATTGATTTGACTTGATTCTTTTGCCTTTGTAAAGGTTTGTTTTTAATAAACCTGCAGAGACAAACAGACAGACAGACACACACACACATAGAGACTTATTAACTTTGTTAGCTGCAAGAGTGGGAGGTGAACAATTTCGCATTAACCCTAAATGACCGCAACACCTTTTCGGTGTATTATTTAAAAGTAACATTTAAACTTGTTTCTATTCATCTACAACAGACAGGCAGACATTTAGAATACTCTAAGCTGACATTTATAACTTTACATGAGAACACTCACTTCCTGCCCTGGAAAATTTGCCTTTTTGCTTTTCGATCATAAACTATTTATTTTCACTTTAATAATCGATTTTAAAATATACCAATGTTCATTAAAATTATAAAATTTTTCCAACACGCACATACAACAACAGCAACAACATCATGTCATGTACTTGAACTGAAAAATTAAAAAAAAAAAAAAACAAAATACAATAACAACAATAGCAAAATACATTCGCAACCAACCACACTTTATAGAAAAATGTTCAAATGGCTCCTTTATAGAGAAAATCATACAACAAAGAACCAACAATTTCTTAATTAAAAAGTTTTTAACTTCTTGCTGCTTGCTGTTGTTGTTATTATTATTATTGTTGCTTTTGTGTGTTAAACCCTTTCGAAAGAAATATGAAAGCATTGTAGCAAGAAATGTTGTTCTTGTTATTGTTATTATTATTATTTTACCATGCCTTCAGGTGTGTGTCCTTCAATGGATTTTTGTTATATAGTTTTTTTTTTGTGTACTCAACTCATCATCATCATCCATACTTTATTTTTTTAGTATGTACAATAGATACGAGGGTCGTTAGAGAAGTGTTTTATACATAATGAAAATTTAAATATTTTGCTAGAAAACGAAATTTTAGATGTTTAGTGAAAGTCTAATTTCTAGTGAACAATTCAATTTCCAAAATATTTTAAACTTTTTAGTGAAATTTTATATTTCTAGTGAAATTTCCAATTTTTAGTGAAATTTTGATTGAATTTCTAGTAAAATTATGAATTTTTTAATTTTAATTCCTATTTTTAGATAAATTGAGAAATCCCGAAATTCTAATAAAATTTGGAATTTATAGTTTAATTGCGAAATTCTAGCGATATTCCTAATTTCTAGTGAAATTTTCAGTTTTTAGTTAAGTTTCAAAAACGTACTTGGTGAAATTTCGAATTTCTAATGAAATTTCGTATTTAGTGAATACGAGAAATTGCTGTTATTCCAGTAAGTAGTGAAGTATCGATTTTTTAGTAAAATTTCGAGTTTCTAGTACAATTTTCGTAATTCTATTTGACTTTCTAATGAAATTTCGAAAAATTTAAATTTTCTTAAAAATTTTTATTAATTTTCGAAATTTTAGTAAAATTTCGAAATTCTAGTGAAATTACGAATTTTTAGTAAAATTTCTTATGAAATATCGAATTTCTCGTAAAATTTTAAATTTTTACTACTTTCGAAATTCCACTAAAATAAAACTTTCTAATTTCTAGTGAAATTTCGAATTGCATGTGAAATTTAAAATTTCAAGTGCTAT